ATGCTAACGTGCCTTAGGCATGGAGACTTTAATGGCCAGCCTTTACTAGGCTTGGCTGTGTGACACAAGTATCACACCCCCAACCTTTGGGCACAAGAGCTTTCTTACAGTGCAAACAGTGTTGTTGCAGGAACAGCAAATGAGGGCATGTGGTTGTGAGAGGGAGGGAGGCGGAGGTTGCGGGAAGGATGCTGAGTATAAACTGGATTACCTCTCATGGCTTTTCTGCTCTGCTGTTCATGTGTGGGTCACAGGGAGCAGATCCGTGTTTTTCTGGGTAGAAGGCTCTCCAGCTCACCCATTTTTTGGTTGCCCGTTTGTTAGCCCCAAGGAGACTCAAGTGATTTCTCTGAATTAAGGGGGATTGCTGAGAGCTCTTAAGTGAAGCAGTTCTGTGTTCTCCCTACTTCCCCACCCGCTCAACATTTCACAGTATGATTTAATAGGAAGCAGAACAGTTTGGTATGTGTGTTTTGAATGGAATGAAACTTTTTGCTTTGCCTCGCTGAGGATATTGCAAGTCCTTTGTTTTCTTCCTCGATAAAGCATAGCTTTTTGAGGAATGTATGTATATGAGATCACATAAGGTATAGATTGTTAGCTCACTAGATGTAGGTTGCTTGCATTTAATGTTGCCAAGCTATACCCTTCCTTGACTTCACATTTCATGTTTGATTCCCCCGCCCCCCCGTATGTCCTACCAATGTCAGACATTTTATAAAAATAAAAATATTTCCTAGGTGCCGTTCTCTTCCCTGAAGAGGTGTGATTTTGTATTCACAAGTCTGCCTATTTAATCTTCTAAATGCTGATCATCTTGCTTTACTTAATTCATGACATAAGTCCTGGATTTTTAATGCCGGTTATTCACTCAGCTGTTGCTGGCTGTTTTTTGAAAGTATTGTTCCTCAAGTTGCGTTCTTTCAAAGAGGGTGGGATAGAAATTCAGAGTAGATGAATGGATGAATGCTATATTAAGAAAAGATGACGAGATGTACCCCATGTGGTTTTGAGCTTTTTTAGAAGCCAGAATTATTCTTATACATGGAATTTTACTTATAGTATGCAGATTATTTTTTCCTGGCGATAGAATTTAATTTCTCATATGCTATGATCATACATAGTCATAAAGCATGTGCGTCATAGAACACCAGAGTGCCAGATGTGATTGCAATCCATGCATTTTGCTCTCTCAGTTGCCTTTGGTACTTATGTTCTGGAAAGCCAGCTCCAGAAGTGGATATATTTTTTAACAGCCAAAAGGAGGAAAAAATCCCCCTTGATTTTCTGCATGTAGGAAGATGCTTTAAACAGAATGAAAGAAGTGGTCCTCCTGTAGTTATAGTTTGAACCCAGTTTTTCCTCTGGAATGGTTGACACTTGCCTTGTTGTGAGAGACTCAAGGCAGAGTTCTGGGTCTGAACCTTGCAAGAAAAAACCCAGGGATAGAGTTAGGGCACAAGGAGCATGCCCGGTCCCTGGTCACCACTACATTAACCTCAAAAGCCAGGGCACACCCAGAGCAGGGCCTCTGATTGGCAACCTTAATGCACAGGCAGGCTTCTGTGGACCGAGGGAGTCCTGCAACTGTCCAGGTCCTAAGCTTTACAGAGCTTGAAATGTAAGTAAGTGCCAGCACTTTTGAGCTGGGCTTAAAAATGAATGAGCAGTGTCAGAATCCCAGAATCTCAATTTGAGAAGAGGGAATAAAACTCGGGTTCATGGGAAAGACCAAGCGTCCAGACCATCTGAGGCTTTATTGTATTACCCCAGGGTTCCCGCGGTACTCACGATAATGCATGCATTACCGGGCAGGCAGAGGTGAACTCTGCTACCAAGCTTCAACACCATTTCAGGGCATTTATAGGTACACAGGTACAGGGCAATTGATGACAGAATGCAGAGATTACAATAAGATTCTGAGGTCATCACATACAGAACAGATAAAGAAATGTCAGTCAATCACACAGTAACAATGAGATTACAATATTTCTAATTGCCTGTATTGACACTTTAGTAGCTTGGACCCATCTCCACGTCTGCTTAGACATGTAAATTCAAGCTACTGAAACTATGCATGAACTCAAGACTCTTATCTACTCTAGACATTCTGAATTGGCTAGGGCACATGGAGCCTCTGGGCTATCAAAAGATACTTCCTTGTAAACTGAATTCCAACAATGACTTTTTACAATGTATATTTGGACTAAATGGCCTGTCTACTGTAGCTCACAGCTAAAGGTAAGAGAAAGGAGTGGGGAATGCCATTTTAAACAGTGACAGCTTGGTTTTGGGAAGGAAGACAGGATTTATCCAAATTTTCCCAACAGCAGCCAGCGAAGCTCTTTTGAAACTCGAGTGGCTTGGTCTTCCAGGGCTGATTCAAGCCAGCAGCCCAGTGACTTTCCTCTCAACCAGCTCCAGTTCCGGGAACTCAGTGGTGCTGGACAGAGCAAGATTGCCCCACCATTCCTTTTCATGCATATGAAAACAATTCTTACTTGCCACATCAAAGAGGCAGCAAGTACAAATCAAACGCTTGGTGGTCATGACAGTTTAATGAATTTGACGGCTACTTTTCCACCCTCCTGTCTTGATCCTCCTGTATCTTTACATTTGATTCTCCTGAGCGTGTACCTGTAAATTAAAATTATACTGGAACTATCAGTATGTCTGTTAGGTTTATTTTGTAGTGTTTTACCACCTGGCTCAAAAGTGTTCTCCTGGTTCAACCATGTCATATTTAAAATCAAAAGTAGTTTATCTCACATCAGGGACATTTGGAGTTGGGTTCAGTGCTCCACTTTTCTGCATTGTCTATCTATTTTTACCCCGCATCATCAAAAATCTAGCCTTTGTTGTATTTGGGAACATTTTTGACCCCAGATAAAAGTCAAGTCAAGCAAAGTGCTACAAGGCCTTTGTTCTGGCTGAATTCTCCCCCCTCCCCACAAAAAAAACCAATCAGTGTAAGAATAGCTTTCAGCTCTCAGCAAGTCCCAGTTATTTAAGGCTTTATCCTTGCTGATGCTATGCATAATAATAAAATCTGCATAACAATGATTGGCCTATTGACTTTTCTCTGCATAATAAGAGTTTGGCCTTCAAAGTTAAAAGCAACAACAACGTAGAAGAACCTCTCTGATGGATTTTAATTGTTTGTTGGGAGTTTTAGCTCAACACCTTAGCTTTAAAAAGAGACTAAGATGATCTGTATTGAACTTTTTCTTTTGTTTGGGGTAAAAATACTCCATAGAAATATTCTTAGGGAGATTCGGTGTGTGTGTGTGGGGGGGGGGGGGCTTTGGGCCTCGGGGATATTTTGATTTATAGGAAAAAGGCAGGAGACTGAAATTTGGGAACGTTTTCAACTAAGCTCTTTATGGCAATGTCCTTGAAGAACGTGTCAGTATGACTGCGTGACATGCCATCAAATTGCCTCAAACTTTTGGCTACCCTACTCAGTCCCATCCAGTTCTTGTAAATCGCTTCCTTTATAGAATTGATCCGTCTCATCTTTGATCTTCCTCGTCTTCCTTCCACTTTCCCTAGCATTGTCTTCCTCAGTGAGACTGGCCTCCTCATGATGTGCCCAAAGCACAACAGCTTCACTTTCATTGGTTTTGATTGCAGGGCTTCTAAGTCTCCATCTTTTTTCTAATTTCTTGGCCACAATCTCCCTGTGAATTAATGACTGAGCCAAGGTATTCAAAATCTTTCAGTTTCTTCATTATTGACGTTGTTGTTGGTGTTGTTCGTCGCGAAGTCGTGTCCGACCCATCGTGACCCCATGGACAACACTCCTCCAGGCCTTCCTGTCCTCCACCATCCCCCGGAGTCCACCTAAGCTCACGCCAGCTGCTTCCATGACTCCATCCAGCCACCTCATCCTCTTCCACCCCCTTCTTCTTTTGCGGTCAATTGTTCCCAGCATCAGGGTCTTCTCCAGGGAGTCCTTCCTTCTCATCAGGTGGCCAAATTATTTGAGTTTCATCTTCAGGATCTGGCCTTCTAAAAAGCAGTCAGGGTTGATCTCCTCTTGGAATTATTGCCAGTAAAGCCCTCTAAGTCTTCTGTAGTCAAGATTTTTGTCTTCTTATTGTTCAGCTGCAGTCCTGCTTTGGCACTTTCTTCTTCCACTTTCATCAGAAGTCTCTTCAAATCATTGCTGCTTTCTGCCAGTAATATGGCATCACATCTTAAGTTATTCATGGAATCATACAGTTGGAAGGGGTCTAGCAGGCCATCAGGTCCAACCACATGCTCAATCAAGGACTCAAGTTTCCCATCCGGATTCATGTACCTTCCATCCATTTTCACTCCTCCTTCCTCTGATCCTCATCTAGATTTCTTTATATACCCTGCATACAGATTGAGCAGACAGCAAGATACAATATGCTCCCTCTGATGCCTTTGCCTATTGGAAACCATTCTGTTTCTCTGTCTGCTGTCCTAACAGTCGATTCTTGTTATGGACGAACAAGTGTTGAAACGCACCCACTTCTTTCAGAACCATCCATAGCTTCTCAGACTCTAGGTAATTCTCTGGCTTCTCTGACATTCTCAAGCCCCCTCACCATGTCAAGAGGTCCAAGAGGGGGGTTGCTAGGGTTGTAGGACTATTTATGTGAGCTAAGAAGATGCCAGCTGCCCCATAATGTGGACAAAGTGGACAGTTTTGTTGGCGAAACTGCCATGTAAGAAGAAGTAGGAAAAGAAAATACGGGAAATTAGATACAGGGAGGAGACTCCTTGCATGAACTTCTTACGGCTTGTAGTATCTTGCACTGGCTGAAGAGGACAGCAAAATAAGGCAACATTTTGTGGCATGAACCACTGTTTGAATTTTCTAGCAGTTGCAGGGCAGGGAGCTGAGCCAAGGCAGCAAGTGTGCTGCAGGCTTTCTACTCTCTGGTTGAAGGTCTATTTAACATTGCAGGCATGTTGATGAATCCAAGGTTCCATGTGCTAATCGTCCAGGGGCTCTGCTCTCTTTACAGGGGATGCCTTTTTCAAGGCAGCGATAAGCCTTGTTCCTGAGGTCCCGAAGACAATCAACATAGAAGGGAAGATGCGGCCCTCTGAAGCGTTCCTCCTAGAATTCCTCTGCAATTTCTTTTCTACCTTGTTGATTATTCCGGTAAGTCGTTAACCTGGCCCACTCATCTACACCTGCTGAAATGGTGTTGCATTTTGCTACTCAGTTATGCTCCTCACTGAATTATCAAGGCAACTGACATGGCTGGACAATACAGAACCAACCTATAGAAGTACTTAAAACTGAAAAGTATAACAAGAACTGCAGCAAAAGCAGTGTAAATCCACTTGGGGGAGGGGTGTTAAATAAATAGGCCGGCGCCAAGACAAATTAAAAAGCCCTGGAAATCTGAAAGGGTTTGGACAGAGAGTTTCATTAACATGCCACCCGGCTACATTTCCTCCAAAGCCTAGAACTCCCAAGCAGTAGATGAGGTAGTAAACATGTGTCGGGACTATATAATTTTAGAAGGTAGCTGGGAATCCACATGACCCCATATTCTTCTACAAAAACAAATCTGTGTACATTTCAAAAACAAACCAGAAATAAGCAGCCTGCTGTGAATCTGACTGAGAGCAGTTAGAAATGTGAAAGATTCTAAACCTTTCCAGCCGCTCCTTTGCCTTCCTTTCCCTGTGACTTAATGTTTATAGTGCTGGCTTGGCTACACGGGGCTGAGCCAAGGCAAGGCTTTCGTGTCATGATGCCTCCTTTATGCCTCCGTGTTTCCTGGGGAGCAGCGGAATCCACCTGTCCTGACCATGGCCACTAGCCTGGTTTTGTTCCCTAGGACCATCCTGAGCAGGGCGTGTTGTTCCTGGTGCGAGGGCTGCTAAACGTCATCCAGGACTACACTTGGGAAGATAACAACGATGACAAAATCCGGATCTACACGAACGTGGTGCATCTTCTCTCGGCGATGAGTCAGGAGACGTTCATTTACCATGTGGACAAAGGTGAGTGAGTGAGCTTCGATGCTAGCACAAAAGATCTAGAAACAAAGAGAACAAGAGTTCCTTCTTTGATTGTGCTTTTGTCACAGCTCTGGAATACTTTTCCTGGATAGGTCTGTCTGGCACTGAAACACCAGCAATGTGGGATCCATGTGGAGGCGATTTCATTCTCTATTCAAAAATACTGCTTGATTTTTCAAGTTTTGCTTTCAATATGCTACTGTTTTGATGTGTTTTTCAGCCTGTCCCGGTTGCTTTGCATTAGAACACTCATTAGCCACAGCCAGCAGTCGGGTCTGGTGAGAGGAGCAGTCCAAACCATGTGCAAGGCACCCGCTAGAGAGAGTTTAGACAGAAAAAAGGACAAGAACGCCCAGAAGGGCCCAGCCAGCATGCTGGGAGCTTTAGATTTATTTTTTCTGTCTTTCTAAACTTGTCCAGGATTTCACCTTCAGTGACTTAGGGCAGCATCCAGTGAAACTCTCCTGCTAAATTAAATTGGATTGCATTGGCATAAAGGGCCCCCAGCGCAACGCCACGGTGCTTGCTGGCATGGCAGGTTCCCAGGGAAGCCGACTGATCTTGCAAGTGTTCCTGGTGTTTGTCAGAGGTCATTATGCTACCATGACTTTATTTATGTGAGCAGGAGTGTCACACTGGATTGTAGAAAAGTGGGATATGTGTATTTTAAACTTTTGTCACAGATACTTTCTTGAGACCAGTTCTTGCAGCATTTTTCAAGACTTGCATAAGTAATTTAAAAAAAAAAAATTGGTGGTGTTAAAAATGTTACATTCATTGAAAATAAACCGTTGGAATTCAGCTGTGATGAATGTTCTAAACTTGACCTCAATAGGCTAAAATGAGTAATTCTTTAAAAAGGAACACCTTTTTCATATTCCCAGAGGAAGATTTTGTGCTTTTGGGGCTCAATCATATGCAAGTTAGACAGTAAGCAGTTGACTGGGGCATATTTCTCGGCCTTTTTTGTGTCTGAACTTGCATAGGAGTGTGCCTTTAATCAGAATAATGAGATGAACTTGGCTCATTAGTGCATTTCCCAGTAGAAACAGAATCTTCAGAGGTGTTTTCTTAGAACTTTTGTACCATCTGCTGAGGGCATCTGCATTTTACACGTACAGAATTCCCTCCCCCCACTCTCTTTTTGGTTTTAACTGGCAAAACCACTTGAGCTTGTCCTTTGCAATTTTCTTGCAAACACTGTATAACATCTGCCAAAGGAGAACAGACGAAGGCCATCCAGCCTTGCAGATCACTGTGTGTCCAAAGGCTGAGGTTGTCTGTAGCTTACCTTGGAGACGGGCTTATTTCCGGGAGAGGGCTAGTTCTGTCCTCCATGCTTCACGGTTAAAAACACCTCCTTTTTCGTTTGTTTTCAAGTCCATCTGCCCCCTGGTTTCACCCTTTATTTTCAGGGTCGCTCTGCACTAATGTGCACACTGATCGTTCTGGAAAACCCCGTTTATTTTCAGCAGCAAATGTACTAGCGTAGGAAGCACCTGCACACACGTGGCCCCCCCCCCCCCCCCCGCTGGGCCTGGATGGACTGTTGCAGCGAGAGAGGAAAAGTTGTGGTAGTGGAAATACTCACTGGGTCACATATTTCCACATCGTTAAGGTGAGATCTGCAAGATGAACCTTTGCAGGGCTTGAACCCACATTTTGGACTGAACTGCCAGCAAGCCTGGTGATTGGCCATGCTGGCTGGGGCTGATGGGGGTTGAAGTACAAAACATCTGGCAGGCACTGGGAAGGCTGGTTTAGGACTCATATCTGTGATTGGTCCAGTCAACACCATGCCATCCAATATGGCTGCAGTGTTTGGATTACAACTCCCATCATCCCAAGCCACCATGGTTGGGAAACACTGGGCTGTTCCACCTTAGAGGGCTCCAGGGTCTCTGGCAGGAGTCTTTTCTAACTTTATGAGGTCTTCAGGGCTGGGCATCCTGAAATTTGAACTTGTGACCTTTTCCATAGGGGGCATTTGGGCCACTAAGCTCCAGCTCTCCCACCCGCTGGAGACTCGTCTCTTGTACCACGATGTAGTCAGCTGTTCGCACTCAGTGACTAGCGGAATTAGAGTGCTGAGCGCTTTCTCTTTGTATAAGTCAGAAACATGGTTGCAATCTATTTAGTTTTATTTGTTTATTTCATTTCATTTCTATACTGCCCGTAGCCAAATCTCTTTAGGCAGTTTACAAAAAGTATAAAAACGATACGATGCAATAGATAAAAACATCAACAAGAATTAAACAGTAATTTAAAATAGCATTAAAAACATTAAAAGACAATAAAAAGACCTGAGCAAGAATAAAAGAAAGGTACCTGGATAATCATGCCAGGCCTCTGAATGACCAGGGAAGTCTTTAAGGGCCTCTGCAGAGAGCACTGCCTTATCCTCACACCGAAAAGATGGTAAATGTGGCGCAACTGAGAGGCTGTTCCAAAGATGGAGGGGTCACCGCAGAAAAGGCCCTCCCCCTGGTCGCTACCTTCCAAGCCTCTTGCGGGTTGATCCTCAGAGGAAGGCAGAGAGGTTGATGGTAGTGTCCAGGTGGGTTGGGGTTAGAAGAGCTGCGCCATCAGGTACTGTGGTCCCCAGTTGTGTAGGGCTTGATAGGTCAAAACCAGCACCTTGAATTGGGACTGGGAGCATTGTTGTTGTGAGTCACGAAGTCGAGTCCAACCCATCGCGACCCCATGGACAACACTCCTCCAGGCCCTCCTGTCCCCCACCATCCCCGGAGTCCACCCAAGCTCACGCCGACTGCTTCAGTGACTCATCTATCCATCTCATTCTCTGCCGTCCGCTTCTTCTTTTGCCATCTATTGTTCCCAGCATCAGGGTCTTCTCCAGGGAGTCCTTCCTTCTCATTAGGTGGCCAAAGTATTTGAGTTCCATCTGCAGTATCTGGCCTTCTAAAGAGCAGTCAGGGTTGATCTCCTCTAGCACTGACCGGTTTGATCGCCTTGCGGTCCAAGGGAGTCTCTGCCAGCACCACAATTCAAAGGCCTCAATCCTTCGGCGCTCAGCCTTCCTTATGGTCCGGCTTTCACAGTCGTGCATTGCAACTGGGAAAACCATCGCCTTGCAGTCAGCCAATGTAACCAGCATTATGGCCTTTGAATTATTAAGGTGATCGGTTCTTGGATGCCTGACAATTTTTAAAGTGAGATTGTGGCTGCAGTCTGTTTGGGTTAGCCAGAAACAGTGCAACCCTATGACAGTTCAATAATTTATTTTGCATGCCCCCCCGGCCCCCGCCCTGCGTGTCAGTGAAGCTGGCCTGGAGAGCAAGTCCGTTGTGACATGCAAAGAAGAGAAGTGATTTGATCCCCGGGTTTGCATTTTTAAGGTCCCCAGGCATTCATGGTCTCCTACAGGATGGGCAACTTTGACAGGCCCCGTAGGTTGCAATTTGTAGGGCACTCGATAATGCAGCCTCCCCTCCAGAAATTGGGAGAAATTAATGAGTTGCCACTGAAATTCGGCCGCAAACCACTCTGCAGTGCTCCGTAGCACTAAAAAGGTTAATTTCCAGCTCAGGTTGGCTCTTTGAATGCTCTGCATTGCTGAAGCAGGCAAATTTAGCTCCAGGCTAAGCTAAATCTGACTCTTCGCATTCTGAAACTACAAAGTGGCATTTTTGCTTTTCACTGCCACCAGATTCCATGCTGTGGCAGGGATTTCCCTGAGCTGGGAATGTGGGCTTAGTGGTGCCCAGCCTGATCAAATTGATTGCTCTACCCCACCAATCCTAAAAGACATTTATTTATTTATAACATTTCTGTGCCGCACCCATTGCCTAATCCATAGCTAATGCTCTATCCATAACATCGCACCATTTAAAAAAAAAATTAAATTTATTTTTCGATTTATATCCTGCCTTTTTCCTACAAAGGACTCAAGGCAGGTTACATCATTCTCCTCCTCCATCATATCCCCACAACAACCCTGTGAGGTAGGTTGGGCTGAAAGTCTGTGGCTGGCCCAAAGTCACCCAGTTGGCTCCATGGCTGAGCGGGGACTAGAACCCAGATCCTCCGAGTCCCAGTCCCATGCTCTTAACCACTACACCACACTGGCTCTCTGGCTTTTTCCTGAGTTTTGTCTCACATATGAGCAGGGCCGTCTTAACAGCGTTATGGGGCCCCTATGACAACTACAACTACTGTTAATTTTGGAAGTTTTCCAATTTCCAAGGGTTAACATACACAGATTAGTATGGGGCCCAGGACAAGTGCCCATCAGGCCCATGCATTAAGAAGGCCCTGCACATGAGCTACTTAAATACCTTATGATAGGGTATTTTTTTCCTGAGATGATCGTTTACAAATATCCGGACTTCTAAGTCACGCAAACATTCTTACCCACCCACTTTCTCATATTCAATCTGAAACCTTTTGTTTTCTCAGTTGAATCCAATGATACCTTGTATGGTGGAGATACCAAATTCTTGGCAGAAACCAGCAAGCTGTGTGAAACGGTGATAGCACAAATCCTGGACCATCTCAAGAACCTCGGAAAGGATGAGGTGGGAAAAAACCTTCTTCTTGTCCTGCCTGTAACAAATAGTGTCCCTTACCTAATTTTATTTGGCATTTTTTTAAAGTTTTAAGATGATTTTTTTTTAGTTCTTAGGTTTCGATTTGGAGAGTTCTGCACTCTATCTTGAATGTTTTTAAAGCTGGAGGGCCAATCTAAAATCAGCTTATTTGACACAGAAATAGAATAGGATGGAAAAGATAAGAATAAGCGTTGGAAGGGACCGATAAGGCCATCAAGTCCAACTCCCAGCTCCACTTCCACATGTGTCCACCCATCTGGCTGCAGGCCGCTGCCTTTCCAGTTTAGCAAAGGTGACTTGACGTGCTCATTTGATGTAAAAATGTGCAGGCAGGACAAAAAAATAAATAAAATAAAATAAAACTGCTTTGATTCCAGGAAGTGGCAGTGTTTTAACCCTGTGCATGTCCTAGAGGTCACCAGGACCTCTTCCATCCATATCAGGGGGATATCAAAATGTTGCTAGGAGGCAGCCGCATAATATCCAAACTCAGCCATTTCTTCTGGGTAGCAGCTTTCCACACATTTAGCAAGAGCTCTTTCCGTGTTGCCTGTGTGCGTGCACTTGCAAGGAGTCCAGGCAGCAGCATTTAGGTGAAATCTGATCTCTTTTGCCCGCTTGCTTCAGTGGTAAACCTCACAGGGCCAAGGTTAAGGTTGGCTGCATCCAGAGAAGGCTCCAGTGAAGCATGAAATGCATTAATTGATGTGGCAGGTTGGCCACGACGGCTCAGCGTCTTCCGACGACTCCTCAGCTGATTTGATTACTTGGGCCGGTGGCTCTGACTGCAGATTAAGGGCTGCTTGCTCTTTGCTGTAGTCAGCCCACCCAGACCAAAGGGGTGCATAAAAGAGAGTTCTGTCTCCTGCGCAGGGGCTGTGCTGACACCACCAGGGCACCCCTCTGAAGCTTGGCATCTAGACCAAAAGGGTCCTTGATCTGTGGGGCTCTTTTAAAGCAGGCCCAGTGTGATCATAGAGGAACGTAGGAAGTCGCGATCACTGGTTTAGCTAGCTCGGTACTGCCCGCTCCACCAGGCGATGGTTCTGTATCCTCCTGTCTGGCATCCTTCCCAATAAAGGTAACAAGGTGGCACTGCAAAAGGTGTGCTGCACTGCTCCAGCGGCTGCCTCAGTGCGTAGCGCAATGTGCTGTTTAAAAGGCTGCATTCTCCAAACTCTGCCTTTTCATCTTTTATGTGCATTTAGCAAATACAACGTAGAAATGTCAAAAAGCCACTTCACAAAAAATCAGAACTCCTATCTTAAATATATGTTTGAATATAAATAAATGGTACTGCTGAATAGGTATCAAATAGACTGACAATAGAAACAAGATGCTTTGTCTACTGAATGACAAATGCGTATTTGTGTGTGTGTGGGGAGGTTTATCTTCACAAGCCTATAATAGAAAGGCTTTCAAAATCCCCTTTCATGGTCTACTTCTTGAAGAATGATCTGACCTTTGTTTTGCTAGTTTTAACTGATTTTATTGCAGCATGAGCATCCATGAGCTGTATTTCACTTCATCAGATGCCACTGCTTATCCCCATTTGGCAGAAATAAAATAAATAGCTACAGAGACGGAAAATGGGGCCAAACGGCTATGAAACGCTTTTAACTAGTGGATTCTGTTTCCCCACTCATAATACGTATGGTCTTCAAAGCAGCATGACTGCAGAAATTCGTTCCTTGCTATTTTCGTTTTTTGTTTAAATTGTAGACTTTAAAACGACAGAGCCAACTGGCCCTCTACTTCTTCAGTAGCATCTTGGCCCATGGAGATCTGCGGAACAACAAGCTCAACCAGCTTGCGGTTAACTTGTGGAACCTCGCTCAAAAGCATGGCTTTGCTGACACAAAAACCATGGTAAGAAAAGGATGGACAGGTCTTGGAGTGGTGCTGGTGGAAGAGTGTTTAACCTGAGTGGCAAATTCTGAGTATTTGTTATAGGGCTGGCTGTTTTTCATTTTTAACTATGGAAAACTTTGTGTAGCAGAACCACCTTTTAATCTGGATAGTACAGTCCTATACATGACTACTCAGAAGTAAGTCTTACTGAGCTCAGGAGGACTTAATTCCACACAAGTGGGTATGAGATTGCAGCCTGCACGCATCAAGCTTTAGGCTAAGAAGTATAATTCATCTGCACATAACTATTGCCTGAATCCACAGACCTAGGTAGGGCACCAAAGCCCTGATCGCTGGACATCTTCCGGAGCCCCTTCTTTCTTTGTTGCATACGTCTCCCACCTTGTACTCCAGCTGGCTGGACTGCAACTCAGCACTTCCTGCTGGGGATGCTGGCTGGGGATGATGGGAGGTGCAGTACAATGCCTCTGGGCGGGGAAAGGGCAGTTTAAACAGTGGCTGCCTGGAGACTTGCATGCGAGTCTTCCCAGCCATCAAGCCAAAATGACACAAAGCTTTTCCAGACAAAAGCTGAAATATTCATGGCTGTAGTGCCTTGAGGAGAAAATTGTAGTCTCTGCTGCTCTGCCCTGCATGGGAAATATATTCCGGCACATTTGGGTTGATTCTCCTGAACAGCTATAGAGATAATTTTTTTCCCTTCGCTTTTCTTGTGGAGAGGACTGATTTCCAAGGTGCTCTTATTTTCCTTTCCCTTTCTAGGTCAAAACCTTGGAATACATCAAGAAGCAAAGCAAATACCCTGAGCTGAGCCATTTTTCAGAGCTGGCACTACGACTTCCTCTGCAGTCAAGGACCTGATGAATGTTAGCCTGCTGGAAGGCAGTTCTCCAAGGCCTATAAAACACATGTTCCATTGCAAACTATTATTGGTGTTCAATATCTTTTCATTTTGAAGTGTCCCTTGGCGCACAACAGATTTATCCAGTCAGGTCAGAGGCAGGCGAGAAACTGTCCCGACAATGCAAGTCATTTTTGAAATGAGATTTTGTTTCTCACTGCATAGGCGTTCACCATTAAAAGGGGAGTTAAATGCTTACACCAGGGTCAGCAAAACAGCATTTCAATTTCAGACTGTAAATGATTTTTGTAAATATACCCAAATCTGAGAGGGCTGTAGAGAAAAGAAGGTAACCTGGGAGGCCTGATAACAGGTAGCTCCTGGAATTCTTTTGCATTCAGCATGAATATACTTCTCCAGGCATATTTGTCTATTGATTTAAAAGCATAATATACATTGAAAGAAGCGTGGGTGCTTGTGGTAGGCCTCTGAGACACAGTTGAAGGCAAATACGTTCAGGGAGCCTTTGTAAGTAAGCTTTCAGTGTATTAAAAAAATCTAATCAGGGGTAGGACGCATTTGTATTCATTCCCATTACTGATCTTTCCATGCAGTGCTTAGCTGGCTCTTTTATAATCATTAGGCTCACTTATTATTATGCCGCATAACCAAGCCTCCATTTGCCTTTTGATTAGGAGCCCCTGTGAGTGACTTGAGTTTTTCCTCCCTTTAAATTACAAGATAACGCAACGCTCTGAGATAAGGTGAATAACATTTTAAAACACAGGAGGTCCCAATTTAGCACCATTAGTGTGCATGATGCCTTTCCAGAGGCGAAGCCAGACAGGCAGTGGCCATAGAGAGCCTCACCATTCAAGACAGATACAGAAAACTGAGGGAAAGATGTATGTGGACAAGCACAATTATGTGTATTTTAAAAGGGGTTAATGTTCAGCAGGAGGGCTAAGGGGGTAAAGTAAAACAATTGCAGGGAAGTTTGGTTTTGAGTCTGGACCTGAAGGGAAAAGATGTTCCTACTGAGGGACAGAGGTTATTTTACAGAAACAGAAATTGAGAGCTGCATGAGTTTGTATTAAAAAGCAAAAGGCCCCTGGGAGGCTGAGGGTGGAAATGGAGGAGGAATGGTCACAGTGAGAAACCCATGGGAAGAGGTGGGGTGGGGGTAATGTTATGGAGAGCTCGAAAGGGAAGCATAGAGGCTTTGTGCTATTAAATTATTGGAAGAATAAAATAAGAATGGAATAGCCTTAAATATGGCCCTTGAACACCAGACCAGCTAGGAGAGGAGTACGTATTTAAATGGAATTTAGTGGGTTTGTACGGCAAGAGGATTTCACAATACTAAAGCAGCCACTGTGAACCAGTTCTCTGCAGTGGCACGAGGACCGTTCTTGGCCAATAATAAACATTACACTTTCTCATGGTGGCAAACACAGATCTGTCATTTTAGAATATTTGCTTGTTCCTTTGGCAGTAATGTTCTTGGACAAACAAGCAGAAGGAGCCATGTGCATGAGGAGAGCAAAGAAAAAAACTGGAGTAAACACTGTTTATCCACAGCTGGAATGGCAGTTATGTCAGGAGGTATGTAGGAACAGTTGTGTCATGGATTCGGGGACAAAAGCTAATTATGAGAAAAGGAGAAGCCGGGCCAGCGCAGAGGGGAAAAAAGGATGCCTCGCATTAGGAACAGCTCCAAAACACTGGACAATTTTCTTTAAAAAAGTAGAACTGCTCATGGATTATTCATTTCCATGGATATAGTATACACACATACACAAAAATTACATTTACTGAGGCCCCTTTTCCAAACAAGTCTGCTTGGATTTTGCCCTAACAATGTCAGTCATCAAGGAAGGAGAGGGCACAGAAAAGCACAGCTTCTTTTGGGCTGAAGGTAAATCAGCCCTCTCTGTTTCAGTGACCATCTTTGCATCAAGTTGGCCAAAGCAGCACAGGGTACATGATGCAATAACAACCAGATTCCTCTCAGAAACCCCCAAGCAGGGCATAAAAGCCTGTAGCCACTAGTAAGTCAAGACGTGATCTGGGAGAGAGATCAGCTAATCCAAACCAATCTGAATGCTAGCAAACACAAAACAGAGGCTTCAAATACAGTATTTACTAGTACAGTTATGACAGCTACACACCATGTTCACACTGAAAGAAGAAAATGAGGTTTGTTTGCTTGTTTTTCCTATTTCACATACAACCCAGTGTTGATCACTGAACCCGTCGCTGCTATGTTTCAGAAAGGAGGGGTTTTTAAGCATCCCTGTTTGAAACTCTAACACAGTGAAGTGAAGACTTCAGAAAAATGTGCTACTGGAATGGAAGTGAGGTCATTGCATGGTTCGTCCCATCTAACTAAACTCAACAACTTTTGGAAGAGTGCCTTGGAATGAAGCAGAGCCCAAAACCTGTCATTATCTATCCCTTTGTTGTTCTGACTGAAAGGCAGGGAAAAGAGCGGCAGCACAGCTCCACCCAGGGAATCTCACTTTTAATTTATTGGAGACGAGCAGTTTCTAACTTTGAAAGAGAGTTGTGCCAGCTTTTCAAGAACCTCAGGGCCTCCTTTTCAGACCGCGATTGAACAGCTCTTTGTTTAGACCAGGGGTCTCAAACTCAACTGACCTGGGGGCCGCTGGAAGGAGAGTCTGGGCCACATCAAGTATTCCACCACCGCGGTGGTGGTGGGCCGCTCATCCCGCGGCCGGCCTGGGCGCTGCCGGCACTTTGAAGGCCGCAGGGCCCCTCCCCTGTGCCCCGTCCGTCCTGGCAATTGGCCCGCGGGCCACAAGTTTGAGACCCCTGGTTTAGACCATCACTGCCGTAGCAAGGGGAATAGTAACATCTTAAGTTACTTCGGCCTATCCGCCATAATTACATTCTTGTGAGCAAAACGGAAACGTTTTATAAAAATGGAATCACCAGTTGTAAATGGAAAACCCTGAATTCTGGCAGTGGGCCAAATACCCAGTCCAGTCTGAATTGCCCATAATGTGCAAAGTATGTATACATCACATACTTTTATTAAAGATGCCTCAGTGGAGACTCTCTTGGAACTCTGGGTCAGCTGATGGGTGTGTTTGTTTGACCATTGGCTCTCTGGCATCCACCCACCTGCCCCCGCCCCCCAACAACCAGCTGGACACACGGCCACATTCATTAGCTGCCATAAGGTAATGAACCTAAGTCTTTGGAGGGCTGTTTCTCACCTGTCCACAAAACAACGCAAGAGTGAAGCTGCAATGACACACAAGTCAGCCTTTCCGCTGCCTAGTGCAAAATGCTGCTAAGTAAACCCAAAGCCATTTCAAGTTCCCCCCGTTTTTTATTATTATTATTAGAACATTTCTATGCCGCCCCTTGCCGAAGCCTTTTTTGCTTTCCACCTCAAATTTTACACCTCAAATTTGATAGATTTTGAAGCATATTTATCTATGTGCACATGCTTCTGAGGAGCAGGCTGAAATCCAAGGCCGATGCCTCTGTGGTGCTTCAAATCTACTGCCTTCTCAAACGCTGCCAGTAGATTCCGCTGCAGATTTTGCTCTCGGCTTTTGTCCAGAGCCATGTTCAGCTTTGGGGCCACAGACTCTTGAGTTGTTGAAGAACCTTTTTTAAATCCACCCAGCAGTCTTAGGAACTTAGTTTTTTGCTCCGAACTTTCAAACTCTGCTGTACTCCACTGGCCAAAATTCTGAAAGGCAAGTCAAGAAGGGTTAGTATATTGGTGGTAAACTTCAGGCTCCCAGGATCTGGCTTGTTTGTTTATTTAAAAAGAACCAGGAGGAAATCACTAGCTGGTGGGAAGAAGGGAGGAGCTAGGTGCAAAACATTGGTGAAGATAGTGGAGCCAATTATCCATTGAACTGAAATGTATGATCCACAGACCAGGTTTGCAAATAATGCTAAAACATTACGCTAAAACATGGTGTGGTCTGTTGAAAACTAGCTTGTTTTGGCTGAAACCATTGCTGCAGATGAAGCATGGCTGGTTAATGACCAACAAAACCAAACCCATGAAGACCTCCCACGCTCCAACCATTATTGCTACACAACTTCTCATTCAGGCGTCCTTGTTTATTCCTTGAATGAACAGGCTTCCTTGTTTGTTCTGATGATCTCCAAGGTCCTTTCCAGAAGGAGGCAGCTACCTGAATGGATTCCCCTGGACCGAATGGGGGAAATCCTTATAAATTACAGACTGACCTGGTTTATACGTAATGTTAACTAATGGTTTGGGTTACTGAATTCCAGATTGTGAGCACAGCAGCTCTAGCAACCTATGTATTGTTAATCATGAACAACCCAGCAAGAAAAACCATGGTTTCTTGTTAGGCTGTAAACTCTGGTTTGTTTAAACTATTAATTGCTATATGTTAAACAAGAACCATGGGATCATGGACACATAGCAGGAATGGGCCAATAAAGCCATCAAGTTCAACTTCCTGCTCAATCCTGACAAAACAAACTGCAGTTTGTTCAAGTGTCTGCCAGACAAGCCAGGGGTGCAGCAATAAACCATGGGTTAACTTGCCCTTTTAAAAGCACTGCCCCCCCACCATTGAGAACAATTCTCTGGCAGCATTAAGGGAAACACATGTGCGGCCTCTTTGACAGGAGGTACAAGGATGGACCACTAACCCTAGGGCTTCATGCATTTGTGAGAGGTAACCCCCCCCCCCACCCTGGAAAATGCTGTATACGGAATCAGACCCACATAGCCCAGTATTGCTGGCAGTGGCTCGCAGCCACTGGCAGGTTCCCCTCCTAGCCCTACTTGGAGATGTCACGGATTGAACCTGGGACCTTCTGCATGCACAGCAAATGCTCTGCCACTGAGCTCCGCTGCTCCCCTCTCCTGCCACGCTCAACTCTCCCCGCCGTCTTCCCATATGAGACCTCCTCACTCATGGAAGGCATACCAGCTTACACATCGCTTGTTCCTTCTGCTGGACAGGGGGCAGGGCAGAAAAGAGGCACTAGGGCACAGATGCAGGCATAATTACAGCTGCAAAAAACCCTGTAATTTGTGAGGTTAACTTTCTGTAGCTACACAGCATGCCTGGTTTTTTTCCTGCCATTTTGAACTTGCTCTTTGTGAAGCTTACTAATTGGCCTTCATTGTTCTCTATTCTTCTAAGTGCTAATAAATCCTAATAGGCTGTCATCAAAGGGTTGAGATTCCCTGCCAAAACATCAGTTGCCCAACAACTCCGGAGCCATATAGACATGTATGAACTCGATGCATCTGAGAATGAAAGGGGGTGTGTGATAGGTGGGAAATTACTTGCCCTTTTCCTCTCTTATAAAAGGAAAGGAAAAGAAAAAGAAAACAAACCTTTACAAATGAGTTGTATAAATTGTCAACATTTCTTTCCTCAAAATTCCTGCTTTCTTGGTTCAGGAAAGCTGGCATTGCTGTGGGTGTGTTTATCAGATAATCTTAAGTACCAGGAAAGCCTTACACCCTTCTTTCAAATCACATCAACTCCCATAAATAGCAAGCTCCTGAATTTACCGGCATTTTTTCTGCTTTTCTGTTCTAGAGTAAGAATGTCAAGGTTATAGTCTAAGATGGGCCTAGATTATCAACTGCCAAAGCCAAAGGTTATGTATTCTTTAACATCTAGCATAATTATTACAGAGATAAAATATCACTTATACTCGACTTCATCCACATGTTGCCCTCCAGATGTGCTGCCTATAATTTCTGCCATCCTCAACCAGCAACAAGATTCCCATCTAGGCTCTTACCAGACTCGGGGTCTTCAGACTATGTCCTGGGACCCAGGTACACCAAATTGCACATGGGAACTTCGTCACATGTGAAGTGACCCTTTGAGACCACTGACAAGTCTGGGTTGCCGGCACGCACCCACCAAGTTGCCCTGTTCACCTCAATATGGAAGCACTTTAGACACAACTCAGCAGGGACGCTGAGTTCCCGTCTCTCCAGACTCCAGTCCCCGTCTCTGTGAAAAGCAAAGGAGTCCCCAGAAGTGCTACTGATTCCAGTGGCAGGATATCCCAACTCATTTGTCAGAGTTCTAGGCCCACATTCTTCAGAGGAGGAAATTGCCTGTGGCTGCTAGCAGGGCTAAATTGGGTGGCCCACTGAAGCCAGGGGAATCAGCCAGCGCTCTCATATGCTCCATCTTGATGTGACTCGCTCGCTTTTCCAATAATGGAGGAGGAAGTGGGGGGAGATGATAGGGCTAACTGGAGTCTTGGTGACAGCTATGTCCAAAAGCTACTGCTATTTATATTCCACAGAAAATTGAAAACACAATTTCTGCAGCAAAGCCATCAGAACCAATTCCCCTAGGGGGATACCAGGGGACAGCAGGAGGAGAAGAAATGCCCCTTTTCTCGATTAATGACAGGAATTACAGCCCACTGGAGGCTGGAGTTTACTAGTCTGCTTTCAAGCATCTCTAGGGACTGGACTAATTTGTTCTTCAGTATGACCCCCCCAGTCCCCAGTCAGATGCGAGACGGGTAGCCAAGTCACAGACGTGACTCGCATATCAAGCTGATGACGGCACAGGGCCGTGCTAACCTCGCTGATGGGACCGTCGTGCGACCTGCACTCACCGATTCGTCCTCCTCTTTGCTGACTTGTGTTTTGCCTGATTCCCGGTCAATCTCTTCTTGGAGGGCCTGCCGTCTCAGCTAAAGTTTGATCACCATGTAAAAAAACAGAGGGATAAATGAATAAGTGGATTATGAACAATGGATTGGGCAAGACAGGATAAAAAGGTTTCTTATGGAAAGGCTTCTTTTCAATCCAGAGGAAAAAGCACATTTTAAAAAAATCTACTTTCACACCTAAGAGTTTCTACGTGTTTCCCCAAGAAGGGCAGATTTTACGTGCAAAACAGTCTGGGACTGGGAAGCTGAGGGTTTTTTGGCCCAGGGAACGGTGCAGGTAAAAGACATTCTAAATCTGTCTGTATGAAAGAGGAGCAGCAGAACGCACACTGAGCCCATCCGTCTTTCCAGACCCTTTGAGCAACTATTTGATTTTCCAAACCCTTCACTAAATCTCTGCATGCAACTCAAGTTTCAACATTCTTTTGCATCAGAGATGGGCAACCTTCCCAGTGACTCCTGGATACATCTCCAGAATGCTTAAAGTGCCAGTATACTTTTCTAAAATAGGTGCTGTAGCCATTACAATAATTGGACAATCAAGCCCAACTAAATGAGGGCAGTGTATCGAAAAGGCCTGGAACTCAGAAAAGGAAAACAGAGCTGCAATTCTGAGGACCTCCCTGCCCATCTCAGGGATGAAGCAGGAAGGCATCCGTCTCCAGCATTTGGGGCAGAGCAGGCCTTGCTCACCGAAGGGAGTGCCTGGAATCACTTCTGGAAATACAAAATGCCTGCACAACAAGGATATGGGGTCCGGGGGGCGGCAGTGCTACTGGAGGCTGATGCCAACTTCTCGGGTACAATTGCCTGCCTCACACAAATGACCCTCTTGACTCCGTTCTCAATTTGTGGAGGATCATCCAGCTTTTCTGTAGAAAGAACTGCAGCCTCTCATCTTACACTGGCACCGAACACAAGCCCTATTCGGGTGTCCTGAACTTGCTCGTGCCCGAACGCAAGGAGGGAAAATGAGCACACTTGCTCTGCCGCCCATTCCTAGTCTTCTTACCCTCATGTTGTGGGGGCGGGTCTGCAGCAGGAGGCCTTTGACAACCAGGGAGAAGCTCCAGGCCATGCTTGGCAAAGCCTGACATACCAGATTTCCTGGCCCCCGTTGCTGCTCGTGCCTGCCACTCTGCCGGAAGCTGATGGCCTGCGCCAGCCACGGTGCCCTCAAAGCTTCCTGCCCGGTACCGACAGCCACAGTCAAACAAGCAAATCATGTTCAAATGTAGCTGAAGCTCAAAGAGATGCTGCACCAGTTACATATAAGGACACTGGCACCATCAGTCACTCCCATCAGCCTGTCCTGTTTCCCGGGAGCTTAACTGCCGTCCTCACAGGAGGCGGGAGGGAAATGAATTGTATTATTATATTATTCCCTGTTGCAATTTCCAGATAGGGTGGCCCTGAATGGACAATCAAGACCCAACAGTTTTACAAAAGACCAGCTCCCTGTAGAGGTAAGAATACTAGGACTCCTTGGTTGATGTGGAACAACACGGCTGCCTGGATCTTGGAACTCTCCACAAGGATGTACCTATAGACATTTATTCTTCATCATTAAACTACTGTGTACAGGACTGAGGTAGGCAGGGCATACAGCCACAAACCCCACATGAATGCTTGAAACGGTGTGTCTAGAGGTTGCTGCGGCCAGCAGAAGCGGTCCTGCTTTGCCACCCATGCGTGGAGTGAGCCTGATCCAAACGAGCCCAACGAATGCCACAAGAATGAGACGCCAAAAGAGCGACGGGGCAGCGGGAGGTAGTACCTTATCTATATTTATTTCATCACAGTTTCCTTTCTTAAATGCCACAACTTTTATTTCCTCTTCTTCCTGTAAAAAAAAAAAAGTACATGTATAAGTATCGCAGGGACCTACTTTGGCTTCGCCATGACAGGGCAATGCAAAAGGCATGTTGCCAGGGTGTCAAATTAAAAGGAAAAGCGGCCCAGTGCGGAAGTCATATTTAAACCCGGACATCTTTTCCTGGAGAAGTTACTGCGAGTCCAGGTCTAGATGGACGAAGGTCTTAATTTATACTGTTAATTTATATTATTTTAACGAAGTTATTTATGTTTGTGAGCCGCCCTGAGGCTTCGGCAAATGGGGCGGCATAGAAATTTTCTAAATCAATCAATCAATAAATAAAATCTCCTGGTAGATCCCAGCCAGCCTGCTGCAAATCTTGTGGAAACAGCAGCTGGAGAAGGAGGGGTGGGGCAGGCAGATGGGCTCTTGCCTCTCCACCTCAGCATGGACTGGCCTCTTCACAGAACCTCAGCAAAACTGGCCCGACATATCACACCTACGGACACATCACATGGGCAGGCTGCAGTTAGACAGCAGGGCTGCTCCACCAGCACCACGGAAAGTCTGCACGGCCCTCCCCTCCCCATTCCTTGTTCCTCTGTCATGCCTTTTTAGACTGTGCAAGCCTTCAGGCAGGAATTATCTTCTATTAGTACTTATCTGTAAGTCTCTTGGGGACCTTTTTGGCTGTGGAATAAGATAGAAATGCTTTAGATTCATGCTCATTCATCCAGATTCTCTCTCCTCCCCTTCCTAATGAAGAAGATCACCGCCCACATGGCAATTAGAGGGTGAATGGCACTTTTCAAACCTAGTTGCTGCATGGGGCAGGTTGCTCCGCTCCTGCTCACCACTCACGGGAGGCTCCGGGCAGCTGCATTTTGCAGAATGCAGGCCTTTGTCCGAAACCAGTTCCCCACCAGTAGTGCAATCAGCCTGTCCTACGAGGTGGAGAAGCACACGTTGCAATCCAGCCTCTTCGGAAGGCACCAGGTTGGGGAAGTTGAGATAACTGTCCAGACTGAGCTGCTTTAGAAGTGAAGGGCCACGTGCACACACAGAGAGAGGTGGAAAGCCAGATGCCAGGAATGGAATCCAGCCGTGAACACACAACGGCAGGAGGAAGGATAAGAGCCAACAGAGATCTAAATGGTACTAAAAAGCAAAAAGCAAATCCCAAAGAGGAAACATTCCCTTATATTACACAGTTTGGGACTCAAGCTCTGGGGAACTAGGGAAGGGAACTGTATGAGTTATGGAAGCCATTCTCCAGCTATCAAGATACAGGAAAACTGAGAAATTGTAAGGCAGTTTCTATCTTAGTACAAAGAAGGTTGCCAGGAGAGAGATCTATTGAAGCTGCTGGGCTGCCAGCCAAGCATGAAATGAACAAGAGATGCCAAAATAAGAGGGTGATTTGCAGCTGAAGGATATCTCAGAAAAGAGGTTAGGAATTTGGGCACCTTTGTTTCTTTGCAGAATCACCAGCATATTGAGAGCAAGGCAGGTCATCTCTCAATCCACCATCTCCAACCCAACCCAGGAAGAATGCCATCAACTTAGGTGCTTTGACACAATCTAATCCTTAAAACGTTGCTATACTGCCTTCCCAATTACCTTTTCAAGGCAGTTCATGCTATAAAACAAACTGCAAATCACAGTCTCTCTCTCTCTCACACACCCCCCTCCAGAAACTGGAATAAATCAATGCTCCATGCTTTAGGGAATTCACTTTTTGCAAGGATTATTAACCTAGGAATTGAACTCCCTTTGTGTATGAGTGCAGGCAATTTCACCTGACAGACTTTCCTGCAGTGCAAGACTACTGAGATTGCAACGATGGTTACTCTCAAAGAGGAAACATGATTTCCAAAATTCATAACAGAAGCCCAAAAATGTGGAGATGTTAGTCATGCTGAAGTCCCCTTGAATCAGCAGTGTGAGTTTTGATTTCAGAGGGGCTAATCAAAGCTTAACTTAGGCTGGATCTAACCCATGATCAATACAGAATGGCAAACAGAATATTCTATTTGGGATGTACCTTTGCTTCTAGTTTTATCCTTGCTTTCTTCAAACTGGGCTCTTCTGAAGAGTCTTGGAAGCCTCCTTTCTGCCCAGCCTTCCTCTTCTTGACGCTCTGCTTGCTGCCATCTTCCTCCTTTCGCATACTATTTTGTGCCCCTTTGGATTTTTTCATTTTCTTTTTCCTTTTCTTCTTTGCAGACTCTCCCTCATTTGTCAACACATTGTTACCATCTAGCGAAAGAGCGGGCTGACTCCTTACAACTTCTGCCTGGACTTTCTTCCTTTTCTTTATTTTGCTGGCTCCCTTAGAGTCCAGAATCAGATCTGATTTTTCCACACCAGCAATTAGCTTTTTTTTAAATTTGGCTTTTTTAAGATTTTCACTGGAAGCACCTGAGTGATTTTCCTGCTTACTGGCTAAAGCAAAAGGGAATGCAACTTTTTGTTTCTTCACCTTCTTCTTCTTCTTGATCACTTTGTTTTCTTCTTTGGATATGTGGGCTGTATCCTTTTGAAGTTGTGTACAATCTAAAGTTTTGCCCTTGAAACCAAGGCTTTCTTGCGATTGGTACCCAGGGACAATGCTTTTATCTGAAACTCCATTACTACTTTCCCGATTGCATGTGGATATTAAACAGCTGGCAACTTTCTTTTTCTTGCCAGTATCAGAGTCAGCATTCTGGAAGGAAGTCCATTTTTTCTTGGAGAACATTTCCTGGGAAACAGATTCTGAGACTGGGGAGATCCGTTGTTTAAATTTATTCTCATTTTCTTCACCCTGTAACACTGAGAAGCAATCAGGTTTATGTTTCCTCTTTTTCTTCTTCTTTGTGGTAAAGTCATTATAATAGCCATGGCCACTTAGAATATCTCTTTTGTGTGCCTCCCTGGTAAGAAGACTGCTCCCCTGCTGTTCTTCCTGCTGTTCTTCCGACACCCCTTCACTATGAACCTCACAATTTGGTTCACAAGAAAGTCCTTGGTCTCCCTTTTTCTTGGGTTTCCCTTGTATCTTCTTGAGTTTTTTAACTGATTTTGATTCTGCATTACTTTCTATAATGTGAAGGTCTGAACATGCCTCATTCCTGATTTTTTTCTTTTTCTTTTTTGCACCTTTCCAGTCTGAAGCGTTTGCTTTTACTGAATGCTGCTTTTTTACCATGACTTCTGCAGGTAAATCAGAATGCCCATTATCATCACCACTGTCATTTATTATAATAATCTCACTGCTAGTAGCTTTAACTTTGTTCTGTGCAGGTTTCTCAAAATTCTTCTTCTTCCCATGCTTTATGGCCATTCTGGGGGGAAACACACAAAAACGTGAGAGATGTGGGAGAAGCACTCTCTTCAAGCTCATTCTACGCAGATCATTACCTGAAGAGGACTACAGACACCTATTTACCAAGTGGTAACTTACCAACATGGGTATAGGAAGCCAGTCACTTGGAATGCCATGCCAAGCAGAGAAAGAAAATGTTATCATAATTCAGACCCTATGAGAAATCCGTGGAAGTACACATTTTTTTCCACCAGCTGGCAGGGTGTTATAAATGGCTGACTTATCAAGTAGTTAGATGTGTTCAGGAAGTGGTATTCCAACTTACAACTTGATACTCATACGGAGAAAAGATGCCCTAGAGCAAGGGAAGGGAGAAAATAGATCTCCAGATACTTCAGGCTCTCAGCATCCTTGGTCATTGACCATCCTGGCAGTTTTTGGGACCCGAAGCCCCACAAAATCTGGAGATCTGCTTTCTCCCCTCCCCTGGCAAAGACTGCTGTTATACATACAGGACCACCTATTTGAGGAAGGTAAGACAAATTTATTTATCATACTTATATCACACCTTTCTCTCAATGTGCATAGGTTTTGTTTTAACTCTTTGACTTTCTTACCCTCACAGCAGGTCTGTGGAAAGGTTAGATTAAGAGATAGTGGCTCAGCATCACCCAGTGAAACTTCGTAATTGAATGGTGCTTTGGACCCACGACTCCCCAGACTGAGTCCTACTCTCCAACCCAACCTGGTACCATTCAGATGTGTTGGACTGCCATTCTCACAATCCCCAGCCAGTGTTAGCAGGGAAGGAGGATCTGTTCTCACTTCCATATTCATCTGCTTCCCTGTGACTCCTTGTTAATCTGACCCAACCCTAATCCTGTCATATTGAGTCACCATACCCAAATGGGGAGGGACACAGTGAGGGGAGGGGTCTCACTACAGGAAAGAGCTGGTGATGGGAGGAGCCGAATTAAAGGGAGAGAGCCAGCAGCCCCAAGACTATTGGGTTGGCCCTGTCAGTTATCTGATGCTATCGGAGTCTGTCAGAGCCCATGTCAGCTGTAATGTCAGCTGCAGTAATTCACTGCAGGGGTAGAAAACCCCTCCTTGCTTTCAGTGCTACACTTTGTGAAAAGAAATAATTGATGATCTCCTACTCTTATTTCCCTTGCTGAGGGCTGAAGACGGGGTTCAAAGATGCTCGCGAACAAGATCACCTATGTTACATATATGGAGAATACATCTATGGCTGAGCTACATTGGATATCTATCTGCAAAGAGTGCAAATGTTCTTGCATGTATGCAATTGTGTGTACAAAAAGCTTACCAGACTTTCGCTACAATCAGTCACATTCAAAATATGATTAAGTATTACCACTGGAAAAGGAAAAACACTTGCTACTGTCAAGGATGGCAGACACAAATACACAAATTTAGACATTATAAGCGATTTGTCAACCAAAACCGTTACAAATGGTAACTTCCTATCTGTCTGTTCTACTGTATCTGCTCAGAGAAGAGAGGCTGTTAGGGAGAATTACATCAACCTACTTGTGGCCACAGGCAGAAATTTATCTGTCTTGTTATTTGTGGGTAACACTGCAATTATAACAGCAGTAATTGTACCTCTGGAAAGTAACAGAATAAACATAGCACTGTTTCTCAAAAATGCACCACACGTTTGCTCTTGAGAGCAAAATCCTAGCAAGATGTATCATATTTGGGCTGTTTTGTTTTCAGTGATCATTACATTTCTATACCGCCCATAGCCAAAGCCCTCTGGGCAATTCACAACAATGATCATAGAACCATACACTCAGGTCACCCATCCAGATTCTAACCTGGGCTGACCCTGCTTAGCTTCCAAGACTGGGCAGGATCGGGCACGTCTGGCTATGCAGAAGCCATGTTATGCCATACTGGTGGCTCTGCGCAGCACCCCAGCCACTCTGCAGCCAGAACAGGCAGGCTGCAGTGTGGATGTGTCAGGGGATCTGCACAAAGCCGCCACTGCAACCAGCTTCACCACATCGCAGAGGTCTGGCTGGCTAGAACCTTTCCCACCACTTAATGTGCAGCGTTCTGGGCCCACCTTCTGGCTACCATGCTCAGGCTGAGTCACCCCAAGGTGAACATGCACGCTGGATCCGGCCAGAGGGCAGCGATCATGCTGTGGCCAATCTGCTCCCCGTGGGACTCCAGAAGCAGAATAGAAGTGCAACAGCAGCATCCCAGCCATGCTTCCCAGCAAGTGAGGTGGGCATGGTGCCTCAGTGACTGGAAGCAGAGAGACATCAGGAATAAAAGCCATTGACAGGTTGCCTTTCACGAAGTTGTTCGATCCCCTTTCTCAGAGCGGTTCAAACTGCTGCACATCACCACCACTTGCGCTCCACAGAAAAAGTTGCTTGGATCAGAAAAGCAAGGAAACTGATGGGCCTTATTCACAAGCAGAACCCCACTGCTTGCCTCCCACACAGGTCAATTTGATGATTTCACAAGAGGGGATCCCCCTCCCCACCTTATTTATTTAGTTGTTGTTGTTGTTGTTGTTGTTGTTATTATTATTATTATTATAGCATTTCTATGCCGCCCCTTGCCGAAACCTCGGGGCGGCTTACAACATGATAAAATACATTGAAATACAATAGTACATAATAAATTACCATTAAATATAACAATACAAAAAATACGTTGATTTACAAATACAAAATTAAAATTATCAGTATAAAATAAAAATATAGGAGGAGAAAGAGAAGGAAGAAGAAGTTGCCCTGGCCAGATCATATGTTTTAACAATTGAAATGATGTTTAAATAAAAAGGTCTTTACCTGGCGCCGAAAAACCAGTAACGACGGTGCCAGGCGGACCTCTTTGGGGAGTGAATTCCATAGGTTGGGCGCCACCGCAGAGAAAGCCCTCCTCCGGGTACTTACTCTCCTAATTTCTTTCATGGAGGGTTCCCGGAGAAGGGACTCTCCCGCAGATCTCAAAGGGCGGTCGGGCATATACGGACGTAAGCGCTCGTTCAGGTAGCCAGGACCCAAGCCGTTTAGGGCTTTGTAGGTCATAATCAACACCTTGAATTGGGCCCGGGCTTCAATGGGAAGCCAGTGGAGCTGACGGAGGACTGGAGTCATGTGAGCATAACGCCCCGTCCCCGTCAGCAACCTGGCAGCTCTATTTTGCACTAATTGAAGTGTTCGGACTGTCTTCAGGGGAAGCCCCACGTAAAGCGCGTTACAGAAGTCTAGGCGGGAAGTCACCAGCGCGTGTGTCACTGTCGCCAGGCAGTCGTACTCCAGGTAGGGGCGCAGCTGATTAATCAGCCGAAGCTGAAGGAAGGCGTTCCTCGCCACCGCTGTCACCTGAGCTTCCAAAGAAAGCTCCGGGTCGAGGAGTACTCCTAAGCTGCGGACCTTATCCCTAAGAGGGAGTGTTGCACCATTCAGGACCAGGTCAAATCCACCCTCTCCGAAACCCGATCCGCCAACCAACAGGACCTCCGTCTTGTCTGGGTTGAGTTTCAGTTTATTGACCCTCAACCATTCCCTTACCTCGGTCAAGCACCGGTTCAGCACAGCCACTGCCTCATCTGGGTTAGTGGAGAATGAGAGGTAAAGCTGGGTATCATCAGCGTATTGATGATTCCGCAGCCCACACCTCCTGATGACCTCTCCCAGCGGTTTCATATAGATGTTAAATAGCAGAGGGGATAGAATGGAGCCCTGTGGTACCCCATGGCATAGCTGCCATGACGTAGAGACATGGTCCCCCAGCACTACCTTCTGGAATCGACCGTCGAGATAGGAGCGGAACCACTGCAGAGCAGTGCCTCCAACCCCCAATCCCGCAAGTCTGTCCAGAAGGATACCATGGTCGATGGTATCGAAAGCCGCCGAGAGGTCCAGAAGAATCAACAGGGATGTACTCCCCCTGTCCTTCTCCCTGCACAGGTCGTCGTACAGGGCGACCAAGGCAGATTCAGTACTGTACCCGGGTCTGAAGCCGGACTGAAAAGGATCCAGATAATCAGTTTCATCCAAGAGTGCTTGGAGTTGTCCCGCCACCGCTCGCTCCAGCACCTTGCCCAGAAACGGGATGTTGGCCACAGGTCTATAGTTAGTGGCCATCTCTGGATCCAGTGACGCTTTCTTCAGGACCGGTCGTATTACCGCCTCCTTTAAAGGGGCAGGCACTCGACCCTCCCTCAGAGAAGCGTTAACCACTTCCAAAATCCAGGTCCCAATCCCGTGCTTGGAGTTATTTATTAACCAAGACGGGCAAGGATCCAATAGGCAAGTGGTGGGACGTACTCTTCCAAGCACCTTGTCCACATCATTGGGCCGCAATAATTGAAATTCCTCCAGTAATTTAAAGCTTTCCTATCCCATCCTATCCAGTAGTTAAAGCTTTCCTATCCCGTCCTATCACAGAGAAGTCTCAGGATGGTCCTGAGACCTTAGCTCTGGATCCAATTCAGTCTCTGGTGGTAAAAGCGTGCAACTGATTCCTTGCAGCTTGGGCTGAGCTTCCACCAGCCTTCAACTTTTGCGCATCCCGGCAAAGGTTAAGGACAGCTTTCCCCAACCTGGCGCCCTCCAGATTCTCTGGACTTCCAACTTCCAGCGCCAACAAGGCCGTAACTCCCATCAGCCCCAGCCAAGAGGGCCATAGCCAGGCGCGCTCGATGCCGCGCTCCAAAATACCTGAGGGCCACCAGTGGGAAACGCCGGGGCTCCCGCAGACCCCCACCCCACACGCGCGTGCGCATTTAAAGCAGGCCCTTCGCGCCCCCCGGCGCCCCCCCGCCCTCACTCACTTCTCCGGGGGCACGAGGCGGGGGGCTCCTCTGGCCCCTCGCCTCTCGCGCTTCTCCCTTCCCGCGGTCCCGCCGCGTGGCCGCTGCCCGAGCACAGCGAGACCGACTTCCTCGGCCTGACCCGGAAAGGAAAAGGCTCCGCGGCCTAGTCGGGGCCTAAGCGCGGCCGGGGGTTGCCTAGCAACCGCCCTGCTCCCATGGCGGCGGCGGCGGCGGCGGGCACTGAGGCGCTCAACCTCTGGGACCAGATTTGCGCAGGTGGGAGCCTGAGGAGAAACCCCCCAAGCAGTCCTGCTCCCCGCAACTGTCCCTGTTTTTCCCCTGTGTGTGGGGACATTATCCTTATTTGACCCTCTTGCAGTGTGGGGGTGGGGGGGGCATAGAAACGATAGTGTGCCTAGTGGTCAAAGCAGCAGCCTTTCCCGATGTTTGGACTCCCAACCCTCAGCAGCCCCAGCCGGAGTTTATTATGAGGTGCAGCTGGACATCTTTTGTGCAGTTGGGGAACGCGTGCAATGGAAGCTAAACTTTCGTGTTACTGGGAATATGAATGCTCAAATTTTTGTTCTTATATTTGTCACTGGTAACGGTTTGAGCAGTACTTGTGCTCTCAGGATGTGGAGGGGAGGGACTGCACTGGATTTTTGTGCAATGGAATATAATGTTTGAAATTATCCCCCCCACCCCCCACAAATTAGGTCATACCTGTGCTAAGGCGATGTCTTGTCTAAACACAGTGGATTTTTAAAAAATACAGAACTGCTGATTTAAGTTACATAGGAATGCATGTAGATAAAATCAATTTAGTAGTCCACTAAAATAACTGATTGCAATTTGTTTTTATAGTTCAGCATTTGACATCTGAACAGATTCATGTGAACTCTCTCCCATTGCTTATATCAAAAAGGAAACAATAGTTTGTCCTTGACTTCATTTATCTTTCTAAATGATGACTTGGGAGTTAATTTGTTGCCACTATCTTATTATTTTCTTTCTAAATAACTTATGCGCTGTGCTGGTGGTTGTTATGTTGCTTGCTTGCTTCCTTGCTAAAACAAGCGAGGGGGAAAAATACACTAGGTAGATGGCCTAAGAAAACCTTTGCCAATTGAGTTCCCACAAGGTATTTTGGATAACAATTTCTGGCTTTTCTGATCTTTGGTCATGCTTCCTGGGGAGCATGGGAGTACAGTTCAAAATACTCCCTGGGTTCCAGAATGGAGAAGGATGGGTTAGTCTATCAGGCTAGTGACTGGTGTGGTGGCGGCGGCAGGGTAGTCCTTGGATTTCTAGTCCACAATCTTGCTCTGACGGAACCATTGCATCCTCTGAAAGTTTATGCTGTGATACCAGTAAAGACCTGAATTTTTGTGTGTGCAGGTATAAGACAGGTGTTGAACCTCTTTCAGAATGCAGGTGTGGAGCCTCCAGCACAGGGACCCCATCTGTTCAAAACTGTTTCTCTTCATTGTTCAGTCCTGTACCTCAGAAGTACAGTACATCTTTTTGCCAAAGGGTTAAATTTACTTTCATAAATGCTCTTGGGGATTGCATTTCAGTGCAGGGGAGCGGGGAGAAAAGGACCGGATCCAGGCAACAGGGGCAGGGTAAAATGGCAGAAAATTAGCTCATATTGTCAGAATCGAAGCCTTAAGAGAGATATTTCAACCTTTTAGATTGAGAAAATGCACATGTGCTAGGAGAACCAACAAATTATCAATGGTTTGGTGAAAGGGGCAAAGTTAGTGGAAGGAAGGGGGTGCCAACGCAATCTAAGTTGCTAATGTTAGTTTAGGAATGTAATAAATTATTTTATACTTAGTCTGCTCTTTAGTACATCTAGGTCAGTATTATCTGTACTTGAAGATTCCAGAATGGTGTCCACAGACATCTCTTTTGGCAGGATCTTTCTGGGTTTTATTATGTTTTATGTGTTTGAATAAAAAGAAATTGTAACGGGAAAACCATTGTTTCGCAAAGGGAAATGCTGGTCTCCAGTACCAACTTTATTTACAAGAGGTCCTTTAGGCCCAGTCATTTGTTTTAAAGCATACCCAGACATCCTGAAGAAAGGATAAGATATGCCAAGAATTGTTAGAGACTGCTTTGAGGGTATTTTGCATTGTTGTGTGCATGTTTTCACCACTGTGTATTAGCTTGTTGGTTGATTTTGACATTCTCCCTGTCAATGTTTCTTTGAGCATTGCCACTTTGAAATGGGGACTTTGTGATCTGGCATGTGGGTTCAGACCCTGCCTTTGTCTGGCACTCAGTTTCTCAGCTAAGTTACTTGGCTCTGCACTTTATCCATTTGCCTTCAGTGAAATGGATGCCGGAACAAAAAGCCTTTGGATTCAAAGGAATGGTTCTGTTGGGGTTTTTTAGCTCAGATCCCAACCTCTGCCTTTTGCTTACAGTTGGGGGCAAATTCTAGTCTTCTTTTTTTCTTCTGGAAATTTGGAGTTTTGTGACTGGCCACTCCTACCATGGCAGCCATTCTGTGACACCCCCCCCCCCAACAGTCTTGCATGATCGCAAATGTGTCTACCAACCCAAACAGGTTAGGGAATGACTGGAACTGTCTCTAGACATTTTTTGGGGGGGGGTGTCTTTCACAGTCCTGCCTATAGCATTCAGGATCAGGTGGGTTCAGACCCTGCCAATGGTTTGTATCCAGCACTGGATGTTATCTGTTTAGCTAACCAATCCCACTTCTTTTATCCTCACAGCAACCCTTCAAGGAATGTTAGGCTGAGAAATTGTGACTGACCCCAGTGACTTTTTAGTTTCAGTTTTCCCTGGAGCACTTTGTAGAAATTGCACTTCTTGCATTGTATTCTGGTCTTAGGAAGGAGGCCTTTCCTGGCCATTTATCATCCCAAGAATTAAGTGGCAATTGCCTCTTCTCTGTTTTCTTTTTTTAATAAGGCACTTATCTGAGTCCCCTGTGAATCCAGCCAAGCAGTTCATGCAGTGGGAGGAATAGGCTTATTGCCTCATAAAGCACGGAGGGTGATGATGTTATTGCTACTGTATCACAGGTTTAATTAATACCAAATAAACATGTCCCATTCTTCAGTTTCTAAGAAGAGAAAGCCATAACACAGCCTGCATGCAAGTTCTGTGGTGATCTTCCAGTATATTGAGGGAATTGACCATCTCTCAGCATGAATTTATTACTGTAGTTCTTGTTTCAATTTTGCAGTATGTTAACTGGGAGGAAAGCAGCTTTGAATAAGTTGAACCCCAACACCACTTTAGAGGCAGAATGATCTATTTAAAAAATTGCCTGTTATAAACTTGGGGGAAAATCAGAAAGTAACCAAGTATACTGTGTCATTTTAGACCAAAAGTACATGATTGTGTGTGTGTGTGTGTGTGTGTGTGTGTGTGAGAGAGAGGGGGGGGGAGAGAGAGATGGAGGCAGGAGAATACTGGTTTTGAAGGCTTCTTAATGCATTTATGCATTGCATTTTTCAAGGAGATAGGGAATGTGTGGCCCTCCAGATGTTGGTGGACTGAAATCCCTATTATCCCTCACCATTGACTATGTTAGTCAGGGCTGATGGGAGATGCTGTCCAACAACATCTGGAGGGCTGCATGTTTTCCATTCCCGGTATACATGCTTCTTACCTCCAGCTTACCCTCACAACGGGTAGGCTAGGCTGAGAGAGTGTGACTGGTTTAAGGTTACACCAATAATTTAATGACTCTGCAGGGATCTGAACCAAATCTCCCTAATCTGGCACTCTAACTGCTACAGTGGCCCTCTCCATTTGAAAGTATGTGGAAATAGAAAACTAGAAAAAATGGGCAAAGTTAAATGTTGGACTGTCGGTAAACATTATGCCAGTATATCAGCATGTTGTTGCTAGTTGTGAAGTCATGTCCAACCCATCGCGACCCCATGGACAACCTTCCTCCAGGCCTTCCTGCCCTCCACCATCCCCCAGAGTCCACCTAAGCTCTCACTGACTGCTTCAGTGACTCCATCCAGCCGCCTCATCCTCTGCCATCCCCTTCTTCTTTTGCCATCTATGGTTCCCAGCATCAGGCTCTTCTCCAGTGACTTCTTCCTTCTCATTAGGTGGCCAAAGTATTTGAGTTTCACCTTCAGTATCTGGCCTTCTGAAGAGCAGTCAGGGTTGATCTCCTCTAGGACTGACTGGTTTGATCGCCTTGCAGTCCAAGGGACTCGCAGGAGTCTTCTCCAGCGCCACAATTCAAAGGCCTCAATTCTTAGGCATAGAATATATCAGCATAGAAATGAGAAATAAATGGATCTGCAAGCTTTGTAAGACTTATAGTTCTTCATTGCTGGTGGGTGTACCCAGGCGTGTAGAGATTTGGGAGCCAAATATTGCTATTAATGTGTGGTTATGTTTTAAGTTGTCCTGTAAGCAGAGACTCTGAATCAGGTGTGTTGAATCTCATGTCTCTGGGCTACATCCAAGCTGTATGAAATCCCAGTCCAGCCCTTGAAGTTCCTTAGAAGGCACACCCCTTTCACTTTGCCCCTTCCAAAGCAGCAATCAATTTTTGGTTTTCTAGATTATTATTATTATTATTATTATTATTATTATTATTATTATTATTATTATTATAACATTTCTATGCCGCCCCTTGCCGAAACCTCGGGGCGGCTTACAACATGATAAAATACATTGAAATACAAAAGTACATAATAAATTACCATTAAATATAACAATACAAAAAATACATTGATTTACAAATACAAAATTAAAATTATCAGTATAAAATAAAAATATAAAATAAAAATATAGGATGAGAGAATCTGTCTCCTCTGCCATTTTAATAGGCTGAAGTGCTTTTCTTAAGGCTACATTACTGGCAATAAGAATTTTAAGTGGAAATATGCTGGTGTGTTTGGTATTTTGGCTCCATCCCTTTTGAAGAGGTATGTCATCCAGGTACATAATGTGACTTTTCCATCAGGTTTCAGTGAAGGGGTTTTCTGACCTGTTCAGGTTGCTCTCCCTCTCTTAAGGATATTTTATTTATTTATTTATTTATTTAGGAAGCTTCTATGCTGCCCCATTCGCCGAAGCCTCGGGGCAGCTCACAACAAGCCTCGGGGCGGCTCACAACATTTGCTGGGGGTATTTGCTTTAACAAGTCTCAGACATCAGTAATCCACAGTCAGTGACTACTGGTTGAATATTAGCTATTGTGGAATGGTGGGCGGGTTTGGGAACATGGCCTATTGTGTTGTCTGAATTCAGCCAAGACAACAAACTATGGGTTCTCCTCATGGGTTGTGTGTGGTTAACAAGCCATGACTTGTTAATTAGAAACATAGAAACAGAGCGAGTCAGAAGGGGCCTCCTGGACCATCTAGTCTGACCCCTGGCTCCAGCCAGCTCCTCTCAGACTAGGTACAGACAGTTCAGCAACAACTAACCCAAAATCCATACTTAACCTTTGATCGTGGGTTGTCAAGTTATCTGGACTCTGTCTCAGGAAATAATGAGAGTCTGCTTGAAGAGTAGACTGTGTTTTCCCTTCCCTTCCCACCTTCTCCCTTTTCTCCTCTGTGGGGATGAGGCTTTCAGGAAATGTGGCTGTGAAAAAGGATGTTTTTGAAAAAGATTCAGGTAGAGGACTGAATTTAAGCTCTATAACAGCAATTCTTGAGTGTTGGCTTATCTCCTCTGAGAGACCTGGTATGGAAGTAATGAATTTTGGGACTTGATGTAAACCTGCAGTTTGTGCTAAACCATAATGTCTGAATGTCACTAAATGGCAGTCTGGTCACCTCCCTGTAAAAAAACCAAGTCCTGAGTAGGCCCTGGAGGAGAGAGTGAATGTGCATGCAATAATATGTTTGTAGCTCATGCCTTTTTGAAGAAAAGTATTTGGGCCTGCAAAATTAAAAAATAAACACCTGCTGGTTCCTTTTTGCTTCCTCTGGAAAAAAAAAGAATTTGAAGCAGAGCAACCGCTTCATCCTGACCAAGATGAATGGAAACAGAAGCCTCTGCTGGATAAGAAAGAGGAGCCTGCACTTACCCTTCAGGTAAATTTTAGGCCAGACCAGAGCTGTTTCCCTTCTTGTGTTTGATGGCAGGATCAAAGATCTACCCAGGGCTCCTGAGCAGATGTTCTTAGGTTGCAATTCAATTGCGGTGCCCAGAAGTCCCAAACTAGAAGGCTTAGAGTCATCCTGTGCGGAGCAGGAGCAGCGGCAGAGGCAATCCTGGCTCCCCAACTGCCTGTCTTATGTCGTTGGCTAGACCAGCCTCCCCCCCCCCCGCATCTTGTGGGAGTGTTTCAAGGGCCAAGGAGCTTTAAAAGGAATTGGAATAATTTATGGAGGGGAGACGATCAGCAGCTAGAATGGCTGTATGAGGCAGTGGCCACACTCCCTTGGAGTGATAAGCTTGTGTTCTGGAGAGCCTTGACTGATTGCGAGCAAGCTCCATGCTAGCACATGCAGCCCTTTTGAATAATAACCATTTGAATAATTATTGTAATAATAATAATAATTTAATATTATGAATAACATAATAATGTTATGCAGGTTTCTCTGACTACTGACACGACACCTCCTTTGAATGGGGATCGGAGCAAATCAGCCAGTACTGATGAATTGGTTCTTCAAAAAACCCCTTCTCTCCTTTCCCTGCCACTGGCTCCTGAGCTACCTGATCTGAAAACATGTAAGTCGGAAGTCAGCTGCCCTCTTTAAGCAGAATTCTTCTATTTCAAGAGAGAAAAGCAGTAAAACCAATCACAGTTCCATGGAAGCTGTTCACATTGACATAGCTCCTTGCCCCGGAGACATTCATTGTCCAAAGCTTTAGCCTGGGCTTCATTTGCAGACATTTGAAAGGGGAGGCGAGAAGAGAGGGACCATCATCCAGTGATCTGCTTTTTTATGCAGAAGATCTGAAATGTCTTTGGGGTCTCTAGTTAAAAGGATTAGGCAGCAGGTGATGGGCAAGAACCTTGTCTGAGATATTGGAGAGCCACTTTCTGTCACTGAGCTAGATGCTCCAGTCTAAGGCAGCTTCCATTGTGGGGTGTTAGTGCTAATATTGCTTCACTGTTTCTGTAAAACATAGTGCACCCTGAGCTGCAAGGCAGCAGGAGACAGGAATCAAAGCTCCAGTTCCAAGCTCAGCCTTGGGGCTGAGGATTGGAACTATTGTGTAACCCTAAGGAAAGGTCAAGGGGCAATAGGACCATTCCTTAAAAAGTTGGAGTGCTTCCCCTAAGGCTTATGTATTGACAGAAATTGCTTTAGGTTCAAATATGCTGGCATTTTGGGTCCCACTCACCACTGGGATGGGGATTCCAGGAACTTACCCAAAATGGAATTCAGCCTGCAGACTGAAAGGGGGCCAACACCCCAGCTTTACCAGGTGCTAACAAGCAGACAGGCCCTACCTGAGCAGCTGTCGGTTTGACACAAGGGTGGTAATAAAGATGGGGGTAGGAGGCAATAGGGGGAAGAATTTACATATATTTAGTGTCAAACTAGTTATGGTGCCACGATCAGAGCAGGGAGGGAGTACCTGACGGCTACGGTCTTGTGCTGCATGTCAGGCCACGTGGAAGTCAGTAGTAGCCCCTTCTTCTAAGCAGATGTGCGTAGGCTCATGCTGTCAACTTCCCAGTTTACTGTTTGCCCCCCGCTCCAGCTTCAGGCTGGTTCACACGAAATGGATAAACCCCCGTTGGCCGACTCCCATCCATAAATGGATGTAAATAGATAGCTCATGACAATTTTTGTGCTCATTTCTTCTCTGTCCTCACCTTGTGCTGTGAGCCCTCTCTCAATCAAGGGCAGATTCAGTAGGGATATATAAGAATTTTGTTTCAGCTTGCAACTCACCATCAGGAATGGATGGAGACCCATGTTCTCTGAAAATGTTCCTGGACATGTAGCTGAGTTTGCAAAATATGTACTTGAAAAATACACAACTTTCCCACAATGTGCAACTTTTGCAGTTGGTATGAATTGAAAAACAGGTTGCAAAGATCAAGAACAGGATCAAGCCGAACCAGGTTGGATCCTTGAGCATTCCTAGTTCTCCCATCCCCAAGTGTCGCCTTTGAGCTCCCATGGCAGCAGTTAAGGGCCCAGCATTTGAATTACCCACAATGCCTCGGGGTGATGCTGCTTCAGGGCATTGTGGATAATAAAAATGGAGGCAGTTTGGTGTCTCCTGGGATAGATAGCGGTGGTGCCACTTTCCACCATGAACAAGCTAAGCATAGCCAAGTCTGAAACATGCTTTTCAAAATGTCAGCCACCTTTTGCATGCTATCTACAATCTTGCAGCAAGGGTCTGCTTTCAGAAATATGAGGTCATCCTTCCTGTTACCTTTTGGTTCCCATTCTTTGTTGCCTCTCTCCACAATTTCCTGTGGCGTGAAGCTTCTGTTTTAATTTCCTGTCGCTTTTCTATAGTTTTGTGTACTTTTCCCCACTGTGGAAGACAATTATAGCAGAGATGTAATTCACATGTGGTCTTCTGCTCTATCTAGTTTGATATTTCGGATACGTTTCTTCTGTTCACACCATTTTAAAGAATTATGCCACGATCCAATGTGTCCCAGTGGAGCTCATACAGTGAAGGATTTTTGACAGTGTTATTTCAAATGTAAAGATTCCATGCACTGATTCACATGTAATGTTCAAACCATGGTTTGGCCATCCCGGCACTACTTCTGCTTTTAAATTCCTCCCTCCTCTCACTTTACCTGATCTTTTACTCACTTTGGGCTGGTATCAGCAACCAACATATTTATATTTTAATGACCCATGATATTCCAGACTGATGCTATGCCATGACATTATGAAAAGTTAAAATATTAGGCCATTTGTAGATTGCTGGTGCCTGCCAGGAACCAACTGATGTAAGAGGCCACTTTGATGTAGGGGTGATATTCAAACCTGGAGGCAGCCTTGCCATCTCTTCATGGTTTGAGCAAACCATAACTTGCCATGGCATCAAAATTGGGCTAGCCATGGCTATTGAAAACAAGGATTTGCTTCCAAGTTGGACTTGGAAAGCACAGTTTGAGCTGGGCTTTTAGTTCTGCATTGATGATGTTACAGCAAACCATGGTTTTCCCAGGGAATAAAGAAGCAGATGGGTGTGTACTTAGGGAGCAGGAAGAGGAAAGTGGGAGTCTTTTGGGGCTAAGCTCCCCTCTTATGTTTTTTATGTAAACAGAACCAAAATTAAATAAATTTACCAAAACCCAAAACATTATTGTCCAGGTTCTCCAAGGGAGTTCTTAGAAAGCTACATCTTTCCAGAGCTTCTACCAGGGATGGTGGAACTGTTACATCAGGCTAAGAAGGAAAAATGTTTTGAGGTCAGTTTTTAATATTTCCTTTGTTTTCCATAATGCATTTCTTGATTGAATATATTTATATTGCTGTTTTCTTAAGTGCCATATATTTAATATAAAATAACACAACCAAGGATGTTAAGAGTCCGTTACTGAATGGAGCTTTCCTACCCAGCTTGGTGCTGATGTCACTCCTGGTGACAGAGGCAAGAGGCACAGGGGAAGGGGGGAAGGTGTTTATCGATCCTCGCCCCGGTTCTTGAATGCGCCAATAGCTACAGTGCTGCTCTGTGTCCGTGGGCTTCTCAGAGGAAGACATCATAATATAACACCCTTCAGTCTTTCAAGGAAGCGGTGATGAATGGCTACGGTGTGGTGCCATGCAGAACTGGATCTGCACTGGGCCACCTACTGAGATGGGACACCCTCTCCTGAATCACTCTGCCTGTCTGCAGAAGTCATCATTTGAGGCCTTTCTCTGGGGCGGCCCTACCATCTGAAGAGCACTGGATAGCGATTTGAGGCAGAGGACCTTCTTGGTGGTAGCTCCTCGCCTTTGGAACACCCTGGCCATGGCATTTAAATCATTGTAATTTAAGCAGAGGCATTTCTCTTTTCTTGGAGTTTAAAGAACTGAAGCTGATGACATGGAAAAGGCTGTGACTGGCTGAATCTGAAGATGGCGATGTGACCACCTCTAAATGCAGGGGTGCTTCTCTCTGGGGTCTTTCTAGGGAACTCGATTCTGGGGAGGTGGGTGCCTCATGAGAACTTTCCGTGACCAAAGCCTGCCCTTGAATTTGGTAACTCTGGATAATCTTCTGTTGAGGACAAAGCAGCAGGGTCTTCTGAGAGTGAGGCTTCGGAGTCCCTGTTCATCACAACTGGATCTCCTCCAACCAAGTAATCTTTGGGGGGGATTGAGCTCAGACTCTTAGGGGGCTGGGTCTTGAAGAGCAGAAGAAGAGCTTCCAGTTTGCCAGTCTGAGGGTGGTTGGGAGATTTCTTGCATATGGTTCTGCCTGGATCTTGGCCACTAATATACTTTGAGAAGGGCACACACATCTGTATAATTCTTCCTAGCATACCTCATTAGTGGGTTGAAATTGTGGATCCCACAGGTTTAATTATGGGTTTTACAGAAGCTAAGCTTATTATGTCTTCATTTCTATTGTATTTCTTCTTAGTTTTCTTACTGGATTATCATAGTTCACATGTAGGAATTAATAGTAGGTTAACCTCCAGTGCCTTTATTTTTTTAAAAAAGAAACCAACAATACACATTTTAAAAACAATAATAACCAGAGCATTTGGAGCACTTAGCATTCGGCATGTGTTTCAAAATGGCACATGCAATTTAATAGCTAATCCAGAAACCAGAGCTCAGTTTGCCTGTGTTTTTCCAAATTGATTTCTATTGCATTATGTTGCAATAACAGATACCCTGTTATGATCACACAACTGGCATCAACTTGTTTATTAATTTGCTTTATGCTTCTTTTCAAACATTCACATGTTGCCCTTCCAACTTGACAGCTTTCAAGGGGGCTAATGAAAATTAAGTTTAAAAATCCACTTCATACAAACTAATCAAAAGAGAAGATGTGTACAAAAGAACAATTGCGAACAATAGAAGAAAACAAAGACACTCCTCAATAAGGTCAGCAGAGTAAAGAAGTTTCACAATAATTTGCTATACATTATCCCAAAAGTCTTTCTAATCATGAAGTTCTGTATATAGCAGTAGAAAGCAAGTAGTAAGGGGAGCAGATATACATCCCAAGAAAGAAATTACATTGTGCCCACCTTATCTGGGTGAGGGTCACACCTCACTGGCATCCCCCTTTATTCATACGTTTGATTTTTACCCCAGCTTTCTACCAAAAAGTGGCACTTTTTATGTGACTGTGGGATCTTTAGTATTCCTTCAGCTATGCCTGCATAGCTTCAAACCATGACAACAAAGCTAGTTTCTGGATAGCAAAGACTGCCACCTGGTAACTGAAGGTGGTACTGTAGGGTCACAGAAACATTTAAAGTTATTAAAATTAAATAATACATTTAAAAAACCCCTGGGGAGCAAATCCTAGGATCCCTTTAGTATGCATGACATGTTTTAGATGCCTCGGCTTCAGATGTTTTGATCAGAGCTATGGCATTGACAGATAGACAGTCTCTCTTCTTATAGATGTCCTAGTGCCAAGAGGAGGTGGCTCATTGCATTGATCATATAGGTTGCACTTGAGCACAATTTCTTTTCCCACCAATACTCAGCACAGGACTCCATATACTCTGCTGAGATCAGCTCTGTGGAGCCTTTGATACCTACCCTCAGGTGCGACTTGGACACTTTGGATCCTCCCCACTCCGCCCCCTTCTGTGCTTCCCCAGCGTCTCCTAGGATAATGAAGGAAAATTTGTGGGAGAAGAGGGGACAGGGAGCTACTTCAGGACTCCCATTGTGCTCAATCGTTTGTTGAGCACGGTGGGGCTATTAGGTAACTAAGCACAAGGTGGCTTAAGGTGTCATGCAAGCTTGCCTATTATGTGTGAACCCATTCCTGCAAACAAACCATGGTTTGTTAGCCAGCTGCACATCACACATAGAATATATGGCTTGTTGGCTTATGAAGTCTGGCTTGTTTAAGTCATGGCTTACTGTGCTCTCTGAACATAACTTATCCCTGACTTGTTTGTGCTTGCTATTTGCCCTGAAATAGAGGCATCCAGCCACAGCAGTCTGAAATAGGAACTGTTCTGAAGGCTCAGAGAATGGACAGGAGAGAAGCCAGAAATAGAGAACAGGCCACAGCTTGCTTGCTCATTAAAAAGACACTTCACGACTAAGCGTGATATAACCGTGGCTTAGCATTGCATGCAAATGCAAGCATGATCTTACTTGGTTTCACTGCCTTCCAATATCTCCAAAGTTGCATCTGGGAATGTGGCGTGAGAAGATAGACAGTGAGACAAATGACTGAAACCAGTCCAAACATTTTTTCTCCTTACATGATATTTTGCTTTCATTTTTCCTACATACTAATGTAAGATTCTGAGAATGGTCTGTAATATGCCACTTATGAGTTACTTTATGCTAAATATTTAGAGTGTCAAGAGTATAGTTTGCAAAGAGAAAGCAGAATTTTGACCGTTAATGACCCTTTATATTTTACTTTTTGGATGAAGAGCTATTCATCAGGATTTTAGCATAATTTTTGCATTGCATTGTTTCTGTAGGCATAAAACAATGCATAAAATGCATCAAAGAATGGGAAACAATTGTCACTGTGAAAATAGTTTGAAACACAGCTGCTGGTTAACAATGCATATTGTGTGGAGGTTTCCTCTGCATATCCGGATTTGCTCATTATGACACAGCTGTGCCAAAGGCAAGGTAGTTTTTTCAGTCTGAGAAACTTTTAATGGGGTCTGATCAGGGGCAGTGCTTAGCTGCTCAGGTACTCTGGGGCTCATGCCTAAAAGACCAAAAAAAATGCACACATTTGCATTGGCTGTTTCACTTATGTTCAGAGTCACTGTGCGTGTGTTTGCATGTCTCTTTCCAAGACCACGTCTCTTAAGGACACCCTGATTGGTATGTCCAGGGGAGAGGAGGGCACTTGATTTCAGGGAAAAAAAACTCAGGCAGCAAGATTCAGAGTGTGTGAGTGGCAGGGGGGCTGCAGGAGAGGACACCAGGCGGGCAAAAGGCCAGCTCCTCCAGGGGATCTGATGCAGCAGAGGCTGTCGGGGTGCCCCTGTGCTTTGAGTTCAGCAGCATCTTTGAGCATCGCAGGGGTGGCACAGGTGGCCTCGCAGAGATTCGGGACTCCAAACGCAAGATTCTGGGCTCCAGCCATAGTGGGCTGTCCCCTAATGCTGCCTTGGGTGCAAAATGTGTGAAGAGCTACCTTGAGCCCCAGTGTGTGTTTTCATAGGCTTTACTGGAGTGGATGCAAATTCCTGTTCAGGCATAACACTCAACATACAGACAGCCACGCTGCTGGAGTGGATGCAAATTCCTGTTCAGGCATAACACTCAACCTACAGACAGCCACGCTGCTCTCGCCTTCTGATAAGGGACTTCCCTTCTCATCCACACTAGACATGACATCATGGAAGTCCCCTGATGGGAACGCCCAAGCAGTCCCTCTTTTCCTGATGTTCAGGTGTGGCTGCCCTTGCTTTTGTAGCCAGAATGGCACCAATCGTGCTCGAGGCTGAGGAAATGGCAAAGCAGCACATTTACAGCTTTTCTGTTTCCCTTTTTTGTGGGAAAAGTGAACTTTTGCTGTGAGACACGATATGCTAGGTGTTTTCTGTTGCAAATGTTAGGTTTGACTTGGGGAGAAGCAAGCAAGAAGGGAGAGAGGAAAGCCTCTAAGTGTCTAGATTATTACTTTGGCTTAAAATAGCCGAAGTATTAAGGGACTTTGTGAGATTTTGCTCACTAGCTTTTGCATGATCCAATGAAAAATTCTCCTGCAGAAACCCAACTGCGGAAGAGCACAGAGAGTTGTTGGTCTAGGCCCGACTCACGGATATCGCACTCTTATGCATGTCTGCTCAGTCATAAATCCCACTGAGATCGTTGGGGCACATGCCCAGGCAAGCGAGTACCGGGTTACAGCCTTAACTATGTGCCAAATCTGAGTGGGGCGAGTGGGCTGATGTCAGGCTTGCAGGGCCTACTTTGGTGCTTTTTGTTTGACTACAACCTCAAGATCCACCAAACAGACCCCAGTGCAAAAGAGGCATGTTTAGAAGTGGTGCATTCTGTGCCCAGGGATTTGCTTTGAGCTGAAGTGCACTCATGGTCCTTCCACACAAAAATCTCGTCCTGGTGACCCCAAGCCTTCTCTGTTTCAGCAGTATAATTATTTAGGATTGTGTGGGAGGGTGTGTGTGTTTTTTTCTGCTATTAAACAGTTGGAAGTCAGAAATCCGTCCTCGTCTACTGCAAATCACCCCAAGATCTTTCTGCAGATCTTGGTCTAGCCTCTGCCTTCTTATAGAAGCCCCATGGGAATTGGTGGGATTGAACAGTACTTCATTTGCCTAGTTTCTTTTGTGGGGGCTCAACTGAGCTGAGCGAAAGGGGAGCTTGTGGTTTCCTTCAACTCCACTCCCTTTCCATGCTTTGAACTCTAGAACTTACTTCCAAATCAGCATGACTAGTAGGGACCATGAGGCTACAATCCTGTGAGCTCTTCCTTGGGAGCAAGTTGCATTGATCACCGGGATGCGTGCACAGAGGGACTTTGCTGGAGGGAATGGCTTCAAGTACTTGCTGCTGTTGGTGCAGTCTCTCTTGCTTAAGAATATCATGGCAAGGCAGTTGCTGCAATAAAATGTTGCACCAAGGAAGGTTCTTTCAGGTTGCCCCTGCCCCAGCCAGGCTACTCCACTCAATTCGCTTACCTGCCCCTCTTTCCTATATTTCCTTTCCACCTGGCACTCACCATGCTCGTTCCTCATGAAGCTGTGTGCAGTTTCTGTGCCCGATGTGGCTTCTATGCCAGTCCTTCAGGGTTGTTCTGGCACATCTGCAGACCTAGATGTCCCATCCTCTTGTTTCTTGGTGGCTTTGTTTTCGTTCCATTTCCTAGAGTTTGCTATTAGAGGGAGGCTTGTTGGTCCACCCTGTTTTTATCTTTTGATATTGGAAGCTGTTTTGATTACCTCAGTGAGACAGAAATGATAGTAAAAATAGAACCCCACACAGTACAATTCAGATGCTGTTGTAGCTGCGGGTAGTCTTTCTGATCTCGGTGGTGTTGCTTTGGAGTAGTGCTCCCTGATGATCACAGTGGCTCTTAGGACGCCTTCTTGCATTAACTCCAGTAATCCCTTCCATCCAAATGGCCTGTGCCTGGGCACTGTAATCCCAGGAAAGGATTTGCCTTGGCATCCATGTAATAACTATCGAGAGAATAACTTAAATGCACACTTTCAGATACACACGTGTGCGTGGGAGGCCAGCACGCACGCATTTATAGAACAAAGAAAAAGCATCTTCCTCTGGAGCTCTCGTCCCCTGCAAAGGATGCCCATGCCTCCTACTTTAATGAGGACAGTCCTCTCTTCGAAGAACTGCCAGAGGCAGACCTTCATTTGAAGACTCTGTTTTAAGAAAGCTCTCTACTCAGAGTCCGGTTTACAGACAAAGAACCATAAGAAGGGTTCCCAGATAGGGTATTTCGCTTTAAATTATACCAGGAGCGCCTATATATTGGCCTGTGCAAATATGATGCAAGCCTGTGCCTCCTTTTTATGGGGCGATGCGTAAGTGGCCACCTTACTGCCAAGCTGTGTGCGCGCCTGCTAATAGCTACATGGAAGCCTGGCTAGACCCCCATCCAAGAAAATGAATGAAGAGCATCCAGGTAAGTGTGTGAGGCCCACTAGTCTGAGTCCTCCTTGGCTGATCCTAACAACAAAGGATGAGGGGCTGTTTTTGGCAAAGTTGTTGCACTGAATGCGCTCCCTGTTTATCTTAAATGGTGGGAGAAGGAGTGGAAGGCCTTGTTCGGATTTAGGCCACCTTTTTGCTCCGAAAGACCATGTGCACATATGTATATAAATGCAAATGTATCCGCACCCTTTAACATGTGTACACACACTTCCATGCACACATATGTCCATGATTGCTTGTGCACTCAGGTGTACATCTATTTGTGCATAACCAGGGAACTCATGCATATGCACATGTCCATGCACTTTTATACACTCCATTCTTGAGCAGGTTGACTGGAGGGAGGGATAAGGTTAAAGCCTAAAGCTCTACCCCCCCCCCCCGCCCCACCATTCAGAGAAACAGTGACCTTGGTGAAGATCACAGTGGGGGAGGCGTCGACTTTGTCCCTGCCTTCTGCCAGCTCTCCTGCTTAGGAGGATGTGTACGTGCTCTTGACAGTGTGTGATTGCAGTGCCAGTCAATCTTGTACAAGTGGTTGGTCTGCCTTGTCCTTATAGCTTCCTGTTCCACATGGCTGGGGGACTCATGGTGAAATTTCTCGCTGCTAGCCAGCGTCTGTTTCCTGCTTAAAAGGGATGCTTTATCAGATTCATTGAATTAGTGTTGTTTCATCTCTCTTAACTGTGAAGAGGGGGGAAAGAAAAAGAAATGAAAGGATATTTATATTTAAGCCATCCCCATGGTGTGTGTGTGTGTGTAAAAAACAAAGTGACCAATTTATCTTGACAAACTCAACCACACTAAAAAGAAAGAAAGAAAAGAGGCAGATTCTGAAGGAAGGGAGCTTTTAATTAATGTTGCAAGGGGTCTTTGCTGAATACAAACAACTTTTGAATGAACAGTATAGAAGGAGCATGGCCACGGGACAGGTTTCACTAGATAGAATCTTGCATACTAATAACAAAGCATTTTCCAAGCGCTGATCCTTAGAAAGCCAAAATAACACAGCAGACACCCAAAGCAGGAGTGTCACCAGATTTGGGGAGCCTGTCACTCCACTATCAAACCACTCACTGGAAGAAGGTTGGAATGAAGAAATAAAGTCTTAAGATAGATTTGCATGGCTCTGCCTCTGGAATTTGCCTCATATTGATGCCATCTTTTGTCTTTTAGAGAAAAAGAACAAGATTCATTGCCCTTGATTTCCTCACTGAATGGTTATACAAGTAAGTTACTTAAACCTTTCAGGATTAAATATTTATAAAAAATCTTTTATTATTTCTACATAAAGGAGACAAATGTGTTTGGTTTTCATTTCCAATTATATCCCTTTAAACATTTCAGCCACAACCCAAAGAGGAAAGATGAACCTTTTGTAGAGTTCTTCGAGATCCCTTTTGTGAAGGATTGGCTAAAGGAGCAGTAAGTCAGTCACTGAATTTATCAATCCAGTAAACACACCTCACAAGAAAAAGCATGCATCAGTTTGACCTTGGGTGCAACCCTACCTCCTTGTTTCTCCCAGTTTGCAAGGGGTGCTTGTGATACTCTGTGCTTGGAGGGCTACAGAGTTCAAAAACATGGATCAAAGATCTTGATTAATCTAGAAAATGAACAGTACATGCAATTAGATAAAAGTTAAACCATATTTTAATTGCTCTTAGCAAAACTTTAGCTATAGTTCTGTAATAAACTCCTATTAGAAAGGAAAAAAGAAAAAATACCATAACGTTAACATGATCTTTCATGATACAAAGTGAAGGACCAGCAAAGCATCGCTTGGGATGCCAAGTGAATTTCCCCTCTCCTGTCTGCTATCCTGGGAATGTCCATGGAATGCAGTAAAATGGCTTCCTTTCCATTTCCTTTATGTGTCTTAACAAAGACTCTCTGATATGCATGCTAATTTGGTAAGCCACCTTGTTCCCAGGCATTTTGTCCTGGGTTAATTTGCAGAGAAATTGGAAGGAAGAACACTAAATGATTATTCTGAAGAACCAGGTTTTTTTCTAATGACCTGCTGTTATTATGAATCTCTTTATGATAATGAAAAAAAATTCCTAGCACATCAGTTTGAAAACTTACCCTTTGCCAGATAACATTGATAACAAATGGTTTCTGCAAAGTGTAAGCAAGCAGATTTTTGCAAAGTGTAATCAGACCAAATTGGCAAAAAGAGGACTGAACGTGCAAGGTGTTTCTAATTCCGAAGGTCTGTCAAGAAATATTGTCTAACAAAGCCTCATGGCTTTTGCTCTTTAAATTAGCTTGACTTAATCTGATTTGTGTGTGATTTTGCAAATCTGCTTGTGAATTTGTGACTAGCATCCCATGCAAAATGACCAGGAACCTCTAGGACTGTGTATCTCTTTCTCTGTGCATAAACAGCGCACAGGATATCCAGCCATCCACACATGCACGGGTCCAGCTGCATGCAGCCATGCTGGGGATGCTAGGCATAGCATCCTGGGAGCCATGGCCTGGTCATACTGGCACAGGCCTTTGGCAGCCAGTGGGTCCAGGCATTTAGTTCAGCCCACCCCCTGCCTGATGCATCCGACCCCAAGCTCCTTCTCCAGTAATTGTTCTTGGGATAAGGATTCAATTCCCCATCCACTGACCAGTCAGAAGTTAGCCCTGACTCCATCCCTTGTGCCCACAGAGAATGGCAACAACGTTCTTTTATTTATTACATTTGTATAATGTAACCCCTTGCGCATGGGCTATCATGCTGTCTGAACTCGACCACTGCCTGTCTCTGAGTCTGAGAGGGGGCTAAGTATGTCTTGAGGCGACGGTGTGATAGCCGTTTCTGCTGAGTGCCCAGGATCCACCTGATCCTGAAGCACGGGCAGTTCCTCTGCAGTATTTGGCTTGGGGGGCTTTGGTCATCCTCCAAGGAGGAACCCCCAGAAGCAGTACGACATCTCAGACCCTTCCTTTTGCATTGGTTGCAGGCTTCCCAATCTTGCCTGCCCCTCCCTTGCTGGTTTTTACTTGGGTGTGGAGCAGGTTTCTAAAGGATTTCTAGGCTGGGTGAAGATTGGCTCTACTGCAGGACTGCAAGCAATGCTTCCTGGTTCGTGCCATTGCAGACCTCTTTGTGAGGCCTGCACTGGCCCAGTGGAGATTGCTGCAACTAAGCAAGCAGCAGTTCTGGGCAATGGGCAGCGGTCTGAGGTGAGGTGGCGACCAGGAGTCATTAGGCAGAGCCCGAAGTGAGGGTGCAAGAGCCCACTGGGAGCCGAGATCAAGAGGCAAGCCAGAAGTCAGGCCCAAAGGGCAACCAGTGGGTGTGGGAACACGCAAGAGCCCGGGAGATTTTGTTTCTTCAGCAACACTGTGCTAGAGCAGAAATACCTCTTGTAGTCCTCCTTGGCAGGGGAATCCAGTGTGGGAGGGCAGATCCAGGCAGGACCGTAGGGTGCTTCCTCACTTAGGTAGATGCTGCAATGGGCAGTTCAGAGGCTTACCCCGTGGAGCAGTGACACACAAACCTGAAGAGGTGCCACATCCAGGAGCAGCTGGCTGTACGAGGGGTGGGGGAGACATGTGTGAACTGGACCATAACATATCCGCAGAGCCGCTCTGCACACGGCAGTTTTATTTATATCTTGTAATCCTGCTACGGCTGCACTTTGCTACAGAGCTTGGCAGCTCCCATGTCCATAAGCTAGGTGTTTACATGCAGTTTCCCCGTGACTCATCGAAGAAATGGGACCACATGTGCAGGAGGCTTGGGCCCACGTTCAGTGCCAGGGCTTGGTCCTCTGTGGAACAGAACTTGTGGAGTGCAGGCGTCAACGTGTGGATCCTTCAAAGATAGCATTGGATGACTGGGAAGCGTCAGAAGCATCGGGTGGGTGAGGGGTGTAAGTGGAGGAGTTCTGAGCAATATATAGTTGTGCTCATTCAGATTCACTTGGAGTATTGCAAAGAGCGTGGAAGGAAATAGCCCGCATTTTTGCATTTGTCTCGTTTCCTGCGCCATCTGCCCACAGCCAGCTGGTACATGGGCATTTGACTAGGGTCACAAGCACTCTTCAGTTTGTTTGTGTTGTGAAGTACCTTGAAGCTCCCCCTTGCAGAACGTTTTGTCCCCTGCTCTTACCCTCTGCATTCTCAAAGGGTGAGTGTGTCTGTCCATCCATCCCTCCCTCCATCCACCCATCCCATAGGAGTTCCTTTGTTCCTTGAATGAATTGCAGAATAGGAGCTCGCTTTTTTGCAGGCAAACATGTATGCAGAGCACCGTCCCCCCTCCCCTTTCTCCTTTTTATATTCTAATTGACCAAGGTCTGCTAGTCTCAGCTGCCTTTACAGTTGACAGCACTGTCAGTCCTCAGCTGGCCCATAGGGCTAATTTTGCATGGGTGACTGACTTCTTTCTCTCCCTCTTCACAAAGCTCTGTGCTTCTACAGGCTTTGCAATATTTGCTCTGCCCTTACCCCAGCATGCGGCATAAACGGTCATTTCCAGCACTTTGCTTCATCTTGGTGATGTGGTTCTTGCACAACGAGGATGCCAGTGGTCTTTCGAAAGATGCTCTTTTCAAGGACTGTTGCAGAGGAATGGGTGCCATGTAAGCAAGCAGGTGGACCATTTTTAAAGCAGGCATGTGCATTCCCGGAAGGTCATGTTTCTGTGGGTCCCCTCCAGTGCAGTGAGGCATCATGGCCTCATCCCCCGTTCCTGTGCATTTTAGATGGTGGCAGGTATTCACTATTAACACTGCCCACCTAAAAAAAATTGGGAACCACCCTTACTGCATCAAGGTCCCCTCTGCCAATTCATCTGAGTGGGACCCTTGCCCTCTGTGCCAAAGTCCTGCCTTGCAGTGGCCCATGAAATGTACCAATAAGAAATGCGGTAGCCTGGACTGGGCTACCAACATCTGCCTAGAATATTGAAGTGAGGCTGGACCACTGGGTGGAGTGACGGAAAAGCCTTCACACCTGTGTTACTGAAGAGGACAGAACTTGAGATATAATTTACTTATTTGCTTGTTATATTTATATCCTGCCCTTTTCACTTTCAAGGAACTCAAAGCGGCTTACATAATTCTTCTCCTCCTCTCAGCCTTTTCCTCACAACAGCCCTGTGAGGTAGGTTGTGCTGTGAGCCTCTGCCTGGCCCAAAGTCATCCAGCTGGCTCCATGGCTAAGTGGGGACTAGAACCCATGTTTCCTGAGTCCCAGTCCCATACACTGGCTGTCATATCACAAAGATTTTGAATAAGAAAATTGTTGTGTTTGTTATTAAAACCCCTCCTCCTCTCCAGGTAACTCAGTTTTCCCCTTCCCGCTTTTTCCTCTCCTCCTGTGGGGTTGGCAAGGCTGAGCAATGGTGACCGCCCAAGGGTCACCCCGTGAATGCCATTGCTAAGTGGCAATTTATACACAGGTTTTTCCAATCCTGTTCTTGCACTCTGAACACTGCATCATGCACATTTTCCTGGCTCCCTACAGGGGAGGAAAATGACAATTCAGCCAATGTTTTGCACAAAATCTTAGCTGCAGAAAGGCCTCTGAGATTCTGCCCCCCTCAGGGAAGTGTTCCAGGCCCTTCTCTGAATTTTCATCTTTCCTTTTGCAAAATAACTCTGTAGCCTCAGGAAAAAGTGAGGGGAAATATGGACACAAATATTGCTTAGCAGAGCAGCTCTTGCATTCAGGTACTTCGGTCAAGGAGCCCAAAGTCACTAAGGTAACTAACAAGCACTCAGCACTCTGAGAAGGCATTGGGCAGGCTTACCCTGGAGAAGGGAAAACTGAGCATCGTAGTATGATAAAGGTAAAGGTAAAGGTTTCCCCTTGACATCAAGTCCAGTCATCCCTGACTCTAGGGGGCGGTGCTCAGCTCCGTCTCCTAGCCGAGGGAGCCAGCGTTTGTCCGCAGACAGTCTCCGTGGTCATGGGGCTGGCATGACTAAACACCGAAGTGCACGGAACGCTGTTACCTGCCCACCGAAGTGGCACCTTTTTATCTACTTGCATTTGCATGCTTTCGAACTGCAAGGTCGGCAGGAGCTGGGACGGAGCAACGGGAACTCACCCCGTTGTGCAGATTCGAACTGGTGACCTTTCAGTCAACCAGCCCAGCAGCTCAGCGGTTTAAACCACTGTGCCACCTGCAGTCCCTCATAGTATGATAGTCCTCTTCACATATATGAGAGGTGATATAGATTAGGTGTGCAGAATCTAGGCCTTTTGGGGTGCGAATCCTGCCCTCTTGGGTTGTCCAGATGTCCATTTCTCCCCTTCCCCAACCCCCTTCCCTGATTCCCAATCTTACTGTGGTTTCATGGCTTTTGTGTAGTTTCCCCCCATCCTAAAAGGTCGAAATGCCTCTTTTAGGCCTTAATTACTTGCCAGGAATGCTTTAGCCTGAAATCTGCTTGCATTTTCGTCCTGTGTCTTGTGCTTTTGGGACCCATCCACCAACAGGATGTGGCCCCTGGGAGCTTCTCCGGCACAGAACCTCTTGTCGAAGGAGGTTCAGCCCTCCTGATAGACACGAGAAAGCCCATTTGTCTTCTCTTGCACGGAGGGGTGCAGCCTGAATCAGCAGGTGCAAATGACAAGAAAGGGGATTTCAGGAGGCTGAACTTCCCGACCATATGAGCTTTTTGGCAGTGATACGGACAGCCTTGGCAGGCAGTGGGATCTCTGTATTAGAGATTTTAAAATCTGGCTCTTGAGGCACATTTCCTGCATCAGCAAGGGGCTGGGCAAAATGAAGTCTAAAGACCCTTCAGTCTCTACTCGCTCTACGTATTTTCCAAGTGGTACCCATTCCCATTTTACAATGAATGAATCATACTGAATCACTGTAAAATGTATTGGGCAGCTTCTTTTTAATGGTGGCTGTGCTGACTCTCGTCGGGCTGCTTTGGGCCTTTTCACCCTGAAACGTCTGGCCATGCAAGAGCAGGAAAGGAAAGGGGAAGGATGGAGACGGGGGCCAGGAAGGAAAGCAGCCAAGCAGCCAGAATCCTCTCTTCGCAACCACCTTCTCTCTCTTCCTAAAAGCTTGACATTGCTCTCCACGCTGGCAAGTGGAGTTTTTATTTTTTACTGAACTAATAAGCTGCAAATCTATTACCCTCAGTGACCGTTATCTGCTGCTCCTCTCACTTGTGCCTGTTTTTGGTTTCACAACTTAAAAGATAACAAGATAAACTGTAAACCTCTTCGAGCTCAGATTTGTCAGCCTGCATGTTAGTAAAATCCTCAGCAGATCCCCTCTATGACCACACTGGAAATCACCAGGAGAGATTACCTCCTGAGCTTGAAGTCGGCATAAAAATCCAGACAACACGCCCGCCCCCTTCTCCAGACAAGCGCCACCCCTTCTCCTCTACCCTGTATCGGCAAAGATGTTGCATGCGGTAAGGGTGAGCGTGCTCTGTTTCTAAATACACTGGAACAAGAATCACTGCAGGGGCTAAAGCGTTAGATTGTCAGACACAGTGAATGTCAAAATCTGCTCAGCACGTTTGGCCTAGATTAACGCCTGTGTTATCCATGTGCAAATCTATATTCTAGCATTCACCAGGGCAACCCTCCTCCCAACCCCTTTCCAAAACAAACAAAAACACTGCAACCTTAACCAAAGACTTAATTTTTTAACCCCGCAAACAAAATTAAAGGGCACAAGAATTTGCTGTATTTTGTTCGACTGTAGCCTATCTACTTCAATGCTCTGCCTGGGGCAGAGGTTGGCCAGATGCTATAGGGAGCTCACATGAAGAAGGGAATGGTAATTATTATCCCTTTTTGTCTGTCCCTTGTGTCTGGTAATCAGAGGTCGGCTGTCTTTGAATAAGGAAGTTCCATATAGCTTTTACAAGCGGTTACAGAAAAGAATTTTGTAAAAGCCAAATGAAAACGAAACAGAGCACTGCAATGCTTAATTCCCCAGATACTCCTGCCCCTGACACATTTCGAGAGACTTCTCTTCTTCAAGGGCAAACAAATTCTTCAGAGCTTCTGAACACTGTTCAGAGCTCTCTGCTTCTAGTTCCCTGTTGGAAAGTAGAGTAGATCCTCAGGAGAGCCTAGATGGATCTTGGAAATCTGCCTGGAGGTATTTCAAGAATGATCAGATCTCTAAATTTGAGCCACATATGTTAAGAGAGGAGAAATTCATCAAGCTTTCCATAAACGTATCCCCAGATGAAAACGGGCATTGTGTGAGTTAATTAATGTCTTATGCTGATGGTGTTACAGTGCAACGGAGACCAGGTCATATAAATTAAGACTTGCTCCTCTTGCCTGAGTCATTATTTCCTTCTGTGGGGGGTAAATAGTCCTTAATTACTTCTTCACATGTGAATTTTGGGTTTTTTCATAGCAACACAACCGTAATCTTTTTTTAAAACTAGCTACAGCTTCCCCTAGCTGCACCCTGCTCTACAGTTTCTTCATCCAGCAAGCAGCCAGATGATTCTTGGAGAGAGACTGGAAATGCCATCCTGAATCTGTATCATCTGTATCATCTAAAATCCTCTATTCAGTGATGGTCTGAAATAATCCAGCAACCCACCTGCCCATCTCCATTGCAGTCTTTTGATTTGGAATCTACTGTCATTCTCTCCTGTTTTATGTGTCTTCTTCTATCAAGTGATCCACATGTCTGGGATTGTACAGGGACAGGTAGAAGAGATGATTGTCACTCTGGGCTCTGCCTGGATCCTGTTTTGAGGAGGTGGTGGAAGATGTGGATACAACTTCATAATGGACTATCACCATCTTGTTTCCAGCGGTGGTTCTTACTAACTGCAACTAGAAGGGCTTCTCAGGAACATCTTGCTCTTAGGGGATGGATGAAGGAACAGGTTAATATTGGGCTCAGACAAGACACTGCAGAGAATTGAAGAAAGAAAATTGGAACAGCCCTGTCTTGTGCAAAAGGGCTGAGTAAAATTGGTTTCAGAATTAGTATCATTCCAATCCAACTGGGCAGCTTAAGCAAGTATCACCACCGTGCTTTTTCTTCCTTCCTCCATACTTTCCTCATATCTTTTTGAATTGTAAGTTTGATGGCAGGGACTGCCCAGTTACTACCGCATGTCAGCAGCCAGGAGCCGTTTGACCAAAGAGTTGGCTAAAAATGCTTTTAACAAACAAACAAACAATTCAAATAGAATAATAAGCACAGATTTATCTGGAGGAGGTCAAAGGAAGACATGCAGTATGGAACGCAACCTCTTCCAACAGCTGCCATGCAGAATTCAGCCAGGCCAACTAATTGCAGTGAGTTTTTCCAAAAACCTTTTCAAAACGAATCCTTTAAACATGTTTCAGCTCAAGCAAGTTGAGGTTTTTGTAGGCAGTAGGCATACATCGGCATGATGTTCTGTTAATACTAATGAATCCTGGCTGCTCCAGAGCAAAATGCAATCCTTCAGACACCACCGATGATGGGACAAAACTTTTTGAAGTGACGTAAACCAGCGCCAAAAAACATTTCTGCTGAATTCTTTCCTGAATTGTTTTTGTGCTATAGGCTGGGTATCTTGGTGGACAACACTTAATTTTGGAATAAACATGCAGCACACATTCTCTGTGAATTTGGTTGTCAACTTGGATTTGTGCTGTAGTGTCACAGCTGTCTCCTGCTACAAATAACTTATTCCCTCTTCCCCAGTTCACTGCCGATGGGCTATTACCGCTCTCATATTCTATTTTTATTTGACCTGCAGCCAATTACTAATATTCGTGCAGACCAAAATGGATCTGGCATAATTTCTGCTCCTTCAAACAGGCCTGCTGACATGATTGATACCTCCTGGTGAACTACCCGCCTGAACGTTAGCCATTCCCCCCTTTGACTTGATTTAGACGTGCCTTTTCTTCTTTGGTCTTGGAACAGTGCCTGACAGGTCCTCGTGATTTAAAAATGAAGCCCGTCGAGATGGCTAGAGTTCATTTTGCAAGGTTAGCAGGGCAATCTTGTGTTTCCCTAAAAAATGGATGGCAAGATAGAAATGTTTGTGATAAATGAAAGAAAGGGCACCTGGCCCTTGAAGTATGGATGCTGGCAGATTTGATTACCTGAATCTATCTTTTGGAAAAACAGTGAGAACCTCAGTGAGCACAATAGTTGTGGTGAATTGTAAACCCAAATGCCGAAAAAAGAGCTTTCCAAACCTTTTCAGCAAGCCCTCTCCAGAGAGGACAACTGGGAGCCTTGTGGTACCTTGAATATTTGCGATGCTCATTCAGCCTGTCTTCTGTCTTAAGCCCTGCCTGCAAAAGCCCAGTAGGGTGGGATAAGTGGCAGGCTCTTCCAGCCCCTGTATCCTCCTTTGTTGCATGTTGTGCTGGATAAACCTCTGAGCCTGTCTAGCTCACCTGCCTGGTGGTGGGGGAGAGAGAAACATGCCCTGCTTTCCCCTTCCCACAAGCACATTCTTTCTGTGCTTTGCCAAGGCGAGGGCACTGGCCCCAGGCAAGGGGCTGCCGCAGAAATGTCTTTGGCAATTGGGAAGAGTGATGGGGATTTGGGGAGGGTGGGAAGCTGAAGGACAATTTTCCCCTTGGAGGTCATAACTCGCCCTACAGACTTGGAGAAAGAATTCCCCATATCTTGTACTCTTTCAGACAGTTTAAGGAATGTAGGTTTGCTCTTGAATGCATTCATATTATGGCAGTATTATGGAATTCCTGCATCCTCCATCCATTTCCAGTCTTGATCTCCCTTTTGCCCACCTCTTGTTTATGATGACCTGGGTTTCTATCCAGAGTTTTCCCAGAAGTAAATATCCCCACCATCATATTGCATTCATATTAAAGTAGTCGTTTTGTTGTGAGTATAGAAATGGGAAAATTGCCACTGCAAGGCATGAACAATTTGCTAAGGATAACTTGTAAATGTCAGGACTTTGCAAATGTTAAATACAGGACTTTAGGAAGTCGGGCGTATGGGGCGGGGGCAGGAGAGAGAGGGAGAGATTGATTGATTCTAACCTTAAATCTTTTTCATATGACTAGATACACTGCCAAGTACCATCGCTGTTGTTGTAAAATCTGCACATATTTGCATTTTAGCACTCATGCAATGAAGTCATGCAATTTTCAAACAAAAATATTTGTTTCAGTCCTAGGCCACCGATCGCACTCTCTCTCATTCTAACAGAGGAAGAAGCAGGCAACATAATTCAATCATTCTGGAGAGGCTATCGGGTAAGAGTCATCCATCATCATCATGATTTAGTTTGATGTTGAGCCTGTTTAACTGTGGAGGCCCTGGGGAAAATCCCCAACGTACCTTTTAAGTCGCAGGTGCCATAAATATCTGTGGAGACACTGATGGCTGCAGTAGTGTTTGCATAGTGGCTGCCTTGTGCTCCGGATCTGGTCCTGGGAGGAGGAGGAGATGACAAGGCGGCCCTCTGCTTGTTTATTGCACAGCAAAGACATTCACAGATGAAATGGCTTTGACTAGGGGCAGGCCAGCCCTGCCATCAGGCGGAATGAGGGGAGCCCCTCAGGAGGCAGGTACAGGGGGTGGGATGTATTTGTCATCCCTAGGCTGTACTTCAGGACTCCTCTAGCCCCTTCTGTTGGACAACAGAGTGGTGGGCACAACACACCCTGCTAGAACCCCCAAAACTAGCATGCTGGGATAGTGGCAGAGGATGCCACCTAAGCGCCACCCCCCAGTCCAGGCAGCATCTGCACGTGAACCGAGGAGCTGGGGCCCCATCTTGTCCTTCCTCTCAAGCAGCAACATGACATAAGCCGGCCCTGATGGGGAACAAAGAGCTTCTCCTCTCTGTCTCTGTCTCTGTCTCTGTTTCTCCCTCTCTCTCTCTCTAGCTCTCTTGGCAAGAAGATGCTCCATAAAATTTCCAGGTCTTGTGACTGAGCTTGTGAATCAGTGTGGAAGAGAGTGGGAGTGGAGGGGATCTGCTGAGGCCATGAAAGGGCTGGGGGGCTGGGGTGGGGAGGGGGGACAAAAATGGGATACTGAACTCCTTGGGAGGAGAAAAGAGGTGGGGCGAGGGAGGAGGAACGAAAGACAGAGCACACATTGTAAGAGAAGGGAGGGAAGGAAACTAGCACTGTGCTGGGAGGGACCGAGGCACAGGGAAGCTGATTTGTACAGGTCAGACCCAGGGCCCTTCTAGCCCTGCACTGCCTCTTTTCCCAACGGTAGCCATTCTCCAGCAATCTGGCCCACCATTCAGCAGAGCAAAGTATCTGCTTCAGGATTCAGACATGGCTGAGCTGGGAGCCGTGGCAAGTTGTTTGAGGGGGAAAGGGAAGCCCCAGAAGCAAGAAGAAAGAAAGAGGAACGCGCAATGCAGGGGGTGATCTGTTTGTTGATATCGGAGGGTCAGAGGTGTGCGTGGCAGCCCGCTGTCTCCTGTGCCAGTGGAGGAGGCTGTCTGGTTGCCACAGGCATCAAAGTAAGATAAGATCCCCGATGCAATCCGGGAGGTCTCCAGGCAGGGAGACCCTAACCCGAACCCCTGTCTGAAACCCTGGAGGGGTGTTGCTGCCAGTTGGTGTCCCCAAGACTGGCACGGTGGACCCCTGGCCAGGCTCCTTGTAAGCAGCTTCCTGTGTTCTTATGTAACTGCTTGTCTGGCTGCCTTCTGCGCATGGAGCAGAGGGTGCCATGCTGGGCTCCTCCTCAGGCAGCCAATGTCTTGGTCTGTCCCTGCTCAGAGATCATCACCATCACCTTCTGCCTTAGGGCCAACTAGATGTCGCTCATGTGAATGGTCCTGGCAGGCCTTTGGCTGTCTGGCTGCATTTAACGCCTGACCGTGAGCAGCAGCCACGGAAGGGGTGAGGTGAGTGTTCTGGGCTGGAGAGGCTTTGCTCCCCTTTGCCTGCTGCATGCTTCCAGGGCTGCCATTTGCCTTGGGGAGGAAGCCGCCATCAGTGCCAGTCAGTTTTGCAAACTGATGTGCAAATGGATGGTGTTAACTTGTGCTTGAACGCTTAGGAATATTATAGGAAGTGAAAGAGATCAATTTATTCCTCCTTACCCAAAAAAGCTTGGCTGGCCTGTGTGAGGAACAGGATGGCCGACTTAGATGGCCCTTTGATGTAATCCAGCAGGAATCTTGGTCAAGGTCATGTAAAATGATCTCTGTCAATTTTCAAGTATATTTTCTGGAATATTCGGTCATACTGGTTGCTGAGTGCTCCTGCGCCTCAAGTGCTGAAGAATATATGGGATCTGGGAAAAAGGGTGCAGGGGGGAGGGGGAATGGACCAAACACCAGCCAGGCAACAGGAAGCCCTTCACAGCTTGACTATCACCCTTCCTTCCCCGTAGAGTAAGAGAATATTTTCTATTCATTTAATGGACCTAATTATTAATCTGCTAGTGTTACATGAAACTACTATACAAGGTATCTCAAACAGGCCATGTTTCGTAGCGCTGAATATGAAACAGGACTATAGTTTCACAGGTTTTTCTAGAACAAACGAGCACATAACCATTCTTCAGTGGCATTGTCTCTGCAGGCTCCTGCCTGTTTAAAAAAAGCCAAACCAGACCAGCCTTGACATGAGGCCATTGTCTGGTAATGCTTGAATTCAGTGGCCCTTGTTCTGCTGTGCAGTTCTGTGATCTTTTCCAGCAAATCAGCTTTTTATGAAGTCCTTTCATTCAAAGGATGGAAGCTATCTTTCTGCAGAATCTGCTGTCTTTTATTTGAAAGATACTCTGCACAAGCCAGGTTAAGGCATTATCTCATTGGATTTCCATGTGACATGCACTAAAGCTACTAGCAACTTTATGTCGCTCATTCCATTATTCTGACGAAGGAGAATCCATTAAGAAGAACTCTTTGGTTCACAGGAGTCTTCAAAATGGGACATCACTGTTTTTGGTTCCAGTCTATGCAGTGCTACACATTCAGAATGTTAACTGAAAAGTACCATTCAGAGAACAGACCCTGGCTCTCAGGGCAGGTGGCTGCAGATGCATCCAAAAGCTATGGGGACTTTGTCTCCGAAGCAGAGGTTGAGTGATTTCCTGGCCCCCAAAACTGTCATTGCTGCAGGAGGCAGGGCAGAGGCCTTCCATGAGAAGGAGTGCTCAATTACAAAGGAGGACATCTCAGAAGGAAAGAACTCTTCATGAGCAAGGCTCTCTTCTTGGCTGGGGGCAGCAACAAACTGCAGCTGAGTCCTGGGTGGGATTGAGGAAGTTCTGGGAGAGAGAATGCATTTTAGAGTTCAGGATCAACATAGGAGAAAGCCCTTATTAAACATGCTCAACAAGTGGACCCCTATGAGCGTGGGTGTCTTCAAAGGGCCTCTGCTGTTGGTCATAGTATTGTTGTGAGCCGCCCTGAGGCTTCGGCGAATGGGGTGGCATAAAAATGTTTTAATAAATAAATAAATAAATAAATAAATAGTAACCAAGCAGGTTGATACCAAGATTGGCACTTCCTCAGGTAGACAGAGCCCAGCCTGGTAAGACTTCAAAGATTAAGACCAACACGTTGAAATGAGCTTAGAAAACAGTGGCTAACCAGTGCAGATGTTTCAGTATTGGAAGGAATGATGTGATCTCAGTACTGTGCATAAAGCCTCTGTATGTTGCTGAGACAACAGCTCTTCTGAGTGGGGATTTGTCCACGGTCCTGAAGGGCCTTGTTTTGCCACCTTGTATAGCTAGATTTTATTCTACTTCCCCAGACTTGACTCTGCCATTCCCTTCTAGTAAGTACAACTGCTTCATTTTCTCTCCTCTGGGAACCTTGAGCGGAGCTTGACAGGGCATGCTGAAGGGCTTTTGCATTCACGATGTGCTTTTAGGCTTCCTGGAAATATTTGGCTGACCTCCATTGGAAACATGATGCTGGACTGGATGAATCCAGCAGGGCTTTTCTTGTATTTGCATGTTCCTAGCTGTGCTTCCCTATTCATGAGTTCTCTCTCTGTCCATAGACTTAAAGGTCATGGGGTAAGACTGCTGACATAGACAGCTACATGTGCTCCCTTGATCTTTTAAATCCAGGAAAAATTGCATGTGTGCAGCTGTTTCTCTTGTAGGAAAGTGTGGACTGTTGGGTTATCCTAGCCATTTGCCTCCTCTCAGTGCGTGAGAATGCTAGGCAAGTAAAGGCACATGAAGGTTGCTTCCCTGTGGGCACTCTTCCAAAGCCCCTGGCCATGACCCAAGCAACTAAATATCTTTGGCAAACAAGATAAATGTGAAGGATCTTCAGTGCCAATTAGTAAAGAACCCCCCTCTGTTAAACAATTCAAGATTGCTGATAATAAGAGATGGAGCATTGGGAGCTGACTGTAAAAGGAATACAACAGTATCCTGAATATTCATTTTTTAAAGGAATGAACTCCTGCAATTGTTCTATGACTTATGCTTTTTAAAAAATCCTCTTATCTCTTTTCCTCCCTTTATCATTCCTTCCTTCCTGTGTGCAGGCGTGCATTGTCCTTTTCACCTTTCTGAGTCCCACAAAAAACATTAATTAGCGCTGACATTGTGACTGGAGGTGCCCAACGACAACAACATGCATTACCTAATAACTTTGGATGTTGGCTGAACACTGAAAGGGTGGCTAAGGTACCCAGGGCAGGTACCTGCAGGACAGTGTCTATTTCCTAAATGTAATTTTTGTTAATAATATTGGGTGCAGTGGTTTTGAAGACAATAGGGCAATTAGAATAATCATAATCTTCCTGAGTCAAAGGGTGATCTCTGGTCATCAAAATGGCACTTCTATGTTTTTGGTTCCAGTCTAGGCAGTGTTAGATATTCAGGACTGCTAACATACCAACACAGTTCTGTATACGTACACCTGAACATCAGTGTTCACTTGTACTTACCACCAGGTAATGGATACAGGACTGTGGCCTTGAATGCCTTAACTAGGATTTATTGAGAGAGACTTGAAATGTGATTTAGTACACCAAGAATGGAGATTAGAAAACTGGGGATCAGAATAAGAGAACAGTAGAGTTGGAATAGGCCTATATGGCCATCAAGTCCAGCTCCCAGATGGGGAAATAAAATGTACAAATACATCATGGGAGTTAAATTAACTAATTATATAAAATCTAAAGAAGGCAAGTGGACCACGGGATATTTGATATGTTGAAAATGAGCAGCCATTTTAAAATAAATACCTATAAATGTAACTCAGAGTATATGACTTGTTACTAGGGGCACCAACATGCCCCACCCCTCCTTTTCAAGGGCATTTTGACCAGCCATTCCTCCCTTGGCATGCATTTGTAGATGGAAAAGTCTCAATGGCAGCCTTTTTGTGGCGCAACACTGGCAGGTCCACATGGTAGATCAGCACAAGGTTAACCAGCGCAGTTCTGCGTGTGTGTGCCTGAAAGCCAATCATGTAACCCAGTCAGAGTGTCACCTGTCGGGTTCCCGGCAGTCTTCCTTCCAGGGGCCGAGCAGAAGCAGACTCGCTTGGCCTCAGAAGGATGGCTCCTTCATGTGCACTCATCCCACATCCTGAAATTACAGCCCGTTTCTCCTCCCGACCATTAGCAGCTGTGCCACTGTTTGGTGGAAGAAGGAACCGCTCATCAGTCAGCACGGTGGCAGGCTGAATTGCTCACCACGCACGTGTGCGCACGCGTGCATGCCGTGATGGATGAGGCCCAGGTGTTTTAAAATGGATGACTGACATGGAATAGGTTCCCTTGTTACACAGTTCAGTGACTCCAAGCATTAACGAATGGGTCTTGTCCCAGATGGCCTGCTTGAAAGGCTGTCTGTTCCCTCTTTCCACCCCTTCCCTACCAACCCTGCTCGGAATGCTTGCTAGGTTGGATTTAGGCTCCACTGGTACGTCTCCATCAAGACCTTCTGGCCACAAGCAGTTTGAGGTAGTGCCTGATGGCACTCATGCCGTACCTCATCCCACTGCTCCAGCCATAGGAGTGCAGGAAGTGGCCCTCTACTGAGCAGTCCCCCCTCCTCTGTAGCCCAGCATTGTCAGCTGGGACTGGGGATGATCTCCCCACTTTCTGGCTAAAGGTTTTCCAATCCTGCCTGGAGATGCTGGGGCCTAAACTCGGGATGTTTCGCATGCAAAGCGTGATTGATGACTGATCAAGATCCATGAAGGACCCAGTCAAATGACATGACTTTTAAAAGCACAGAGCATTGGCTGGTGTGGCTCCCAGGAAGGGTTGCCATTCAAGTGCCTGTGGAAACGGTTCTTTTATGGAAACTTCATGCCCAAGAGCCTGGGAACAGATCTAGAAGACACACATCTTCTGTAACTTTCCTCCTTGCATACCAAAAATGGCTGGGGGCAGGACAGGACTGCTTCTAATACATGTAGCTGTGCATATATGCTCTTCACTGTTGCTGCCATCCGAAGATCCAGGGAACACATAGGAACCAGGTGCATTCCAGGGTACAAACCTGATTTGTGTGTGGGGGCAGGAGCAGGAAGTTGAATCCCAGTGTCTGTGCTGGGCTTTCTGCTGACCAGGAGCACTTTCATATTGGCTGGATTTAACCCCCTTGTGTTCATCCTTGTCCGGGCTGCTGTGAAACATAGGCAGCCTTATGGAGCCAGGTCACAAAGAGCAACAGGGCTGAGTGTCATCAGTATCCTGAAGACCTCTTTCCCTAAAACTCCAGATGACCTATCTCAGTGACTTCACATCGATCTTAACAGGGGGGACATTGCCATCCTGTGAGACATCCTAGATGGACAGCTGTGGTGCTGAAGTGACACTGGTCTTACTGGAGCTGACAAAGTGGCCCTGCCATTCTGGCTGTTGCTCCCTCTGGTACAGCCTGATGGAATGGCTTCTGCCAGCTGGCAGTTCCTGGGAGGGGAAGCCTGATGGATGTGGCTTCTTCACAGAGCTGATGGAAGGGACCCGCTTCCTTTTTGTTCCAGCCTGCTGGGATTGTTGCTGCTGACTGGCAGTTGATGGGGGCTGAGGCCTGATGAGGTTGATGCACAGAGCGGGTGGTGGGGCCTTCATGCCCTCGCTCCCTCTCCTGCAGCCTGACGGAATGGCTACTGGCCAGTGACAGTGGATGGAGGAATATGCCAAGTATTTTGTTTTTGGCCAAAGGAAAGACTGTAGGTAATAAGACAGGCCTATCATTTTCGGTGTTAATCCTCTTTCCATAATACAGGATCTCATTGTTCCACTTGGCCAGAGCCAAAATATGCTGCAGCCTTATTTGTAGCTGTTTCCACCCCTTGGTATTTCAACATATGAAGCTGCCTTCATCCTGAATCCAACTATGGGTCCGTTAGCCTACAGAATAAAAGAGGAAGGTTCTCTGATGCCCGGATTTTGAAAAATTACTCTTACTCCGCTCCTCGAGCCCATGACATTGCCAGACCAACCCTGCCCGCCCAGGATTGGGTTCTTTCCCAGCCTTCCTACCTGAAGGTCTTCTAACTAATGCGGTTGGGGTTGGAGCCAGAGACTTCATGTGTGCAAAGCCTGCATTTTGCTCTGTTAAATGATGGATCTTCCCACATCCACACAGTTCATAATGGTTAACATTGGTGCTTGTTTTCTGTGGAAAGGCTGCTGCAGCATTTGAACAGGAGCCCCAGGAAAAGACACACACTGCACCAGCAGCTTGCTAGGAGTACGTGAAATTTCCCAGTCATGATGTTCCAACAGACGAACTTCTCAGTGTGTTTGTGTGTGCATTTATGCTGTTTAATCTGAATCCAGATTACGGTTTTTTAAAAATATTTTACCCCACTCTCAGAATGACTTACAAAGATGAACCATGTGAGAGTTTCTGCCCTTGAGTTTGCAATCTAAAAGACACGACACATAAGGAAACGGGATTAGGAGCGAGGAGGAAAAAAGCAAAATTCAGGAATCAGCTCTTAGTTTCAGCATTCTTTTCTGGCAGGGTTTTTCCTGCATTTGATGACACTTGGAGATAAACAGAATATTTTCATTTTGTTTTAATTATGTCGGATCCCCACAAACATACCCCCTGCCAGCCCTGTTAAAGAGATGAAACAATCCAAGCTGGTGTTTGTATCTGCACATTTAGTCCCTGACACCCTGGCTATTACTATACACATTTACGGCATAGCAATTACCTAGATTTGAGGTGAAATGAGATTGGTCACAGTGTATTTAGCAGAAGCATGCTTTTCTAACTCTTCCAGGTCCGCTGTGAGCCTGAAGTTCAAGAGCTACGCCAGTGGCAAAAACACCTGCGGGAGACCAAGAACATTAAAAAACGGGTGCAGGAATTCTGGGCCAAACAAGAAAAGAAAGGTAACATAACTGGCTATCTCCTTCCTACTGTTCTTTCAAATATAAATGATACTGCCAGTTGGTTTAGTAGAAGATTACTTCATGACAAAGTTTTGATTGACCCAAGAAGCCCTTGCCCCAGTGATCAGGGAGCAGGAATCCCCCCTGCCCAAAGGATTATGGATTGTCAGTTCAGTGGAAGCTGCCTTTCAGCCTGCTTGGATGTTGATCCCTCTAGTTTTGTGCTGTTTGCTCCTGACTGTGCCTCCTCAGAGGCTCAGGGGAAGAAGGGCCCTTCGCATCCCCTGCTAGCCAACCTTTGAAAGACAATGCTGCCAACAACCTGGAAGCATCAGGAGTGGCACATGCTCCATGTGCTCTTTTGCTGAGCCACAGTCCATCTCCAGCATGGAACATCCTGGCAGGGCCTTCAGAATATGCCCATTTCAGTACACACACCTGAGTATGAACTCTCCCCACCTGGTGCCCACTGCACCAAGCCAGCTGGCTGGGGATGAAGGGCTCGGTAGCTCAAACCATTGGTTGGCACCCAGTTGGAGGAGGCTGCCTTAGTTAACATGCCTTGGACAGAGACTAACACTTGGAGGCAGTCAACAGCTATATTGGAATGCCTTTAGGAGTAAGATCACCTCTGATCTCACTCAGCTAAATAGATGAAGACATTTCAGGTGTCATAAACTAACTTATTAGCAGTTTATCGATTTTTCAAAAAAACGTATGAGTTCATAAACATACCATTCACACATAGGAGAATGATTACTCCAATGTCTCTAAGATGAATTAACTGACAGAACACATAGGAGAAGTGGTGCTAAACAGGAAATTATGATTGCTGAGATGTGGGTGAGCCTCATGGACACTTGGAATCTATGCTAAAATGTCATTAATTTTATGAGAATTTGTTTATATAATTTTTTACTGATAATGATAGGTTTGGGTGTTGTTGTCTTTTGTCATTATTGGTCCTTTGCTGTTCTGTCTGTAATTATCCTGAAAGGATTCTTTTTTAAAGCCAAGGGGGGGGGGGGCACAGGTGCCTGTTGGCATGATCCTCCACAAATCTCAGGAATCAGTGAGACACGTATTTCTGTAAATTTTTGACAAATTGGTTAGATAAAACATGCATGTGTATAGCAATGTTTGCCTTTGTAAACATAGCTGAACCTACATAGTTATACAGTAGAACTTACACATAAAAAAGTCCTTAACTTTACATTTGAGTCATTCCCTGCTTGATTCTCTGGATTAGAATTTCTTCTGAAATATCCCTTACTTTGGATATTATGTGGCTTGTAACCACTTTGGTTCAGGTTAACATCATTATTTTTTTGTAGGAAATGACAAGAAAGAATTGTAACCAAGTGTTGTAGTATAAAGGGATTCTATTCAGGATGCCGGCCGGCTGGCCGGCCAGCCAGGCAAGCCTTCTTTTAGGATATGCCATTCCATCCCCCCTGCTTACTCCTCCTGGGTTTGTCTCTTCCCTTCTGGGTTTCTTTGTAAAGTCTTTTTGTGTTTCTACAAATCTTGGCATTCCCCTGCGCCTGCTGGTATCTCCATCACATGCATGGATCTGTTTTTGTCTGCCTAAGGATTGTAGCTTGGAAAATTCAGATGGCTTTGCTAGATAAGATTGTGCGCATTGGGCCTTTTGCATTCCCCTCTTCTTAAAAAAGCAAACCAGCTTTTGGTACTTCTGCAGACTTGAGCCTCCTGTGAGCCTACCCATAACTGCATCTTGCGTGTGGACATTGTTGTTCTAGCTACCTAAGGATCCATGCCCAGAGAACACAATCCACCATTGGTATATATGGCGTGGGTGGGTAACCTCCATTCATGGTCCTAATTTGGGCCACAGAGATCATCCATCCCTTCTACAGAAGCTTGATCTCAGTCTTTCTGCCTGGGCCTTGTTCACTCACCTCCCCAAGGCCCACTCCTTGTTCTGGAGGCTACCAGAGAGTCTTGGCAGGAGGCAGGGAGTGGAACACTTTTCCTCTCTCTGCTCTATGATATATACCACGTCCCAAGGATCGCTTAGCTTGAAAACAGTAAAGTATTTTGGAGAGGACTCCTGTGTGATTCTGCTCGAGTCTTTCATCCTTCCCACCAAATCAAAGTGCCAAATTATATGTAGCATGTGTTAAAAATAAGATTCCGCTTGCCAGGATCTGTCGGCCAAGAGCTCTTGATGCCTCTTGCTTTTATGACAACATCCTCTTCTGTTGTTGCCATCTTGGCACCTGTGCCTGTAAATCCACTGAAATGGCGCCCACCTGCAGACTGGAAGCCTCCTTCAGTGTTAACCCAGCTTCTATTTATAGCGGATGTACGGAATAATCTTCAAATATGAATTCTTTAAAAAATGAGATGAAAAAATACCAAATCCTCAGAAGACCTCTCCAGTATAATGCCAAGGTGCACTGTTGATGTCACTGGAGCAATGCATGTTGTACACGGAAAGGGTTTGAAGACATTCTGCCTTTATTTGGGGGAATGTCCAAATGCTTTATTCATCCATTGAATATGCAGCACATCATGATGACATTCTGCCCAGCACAATGGATGTCTCTGTGCTGGCGCTGTGCTGCAAAGACAACCAGTCCTGTGTCCAAATGGCAGCGGTTTTGGTTTGCAATTTATTGGGGAACCCTGAAGGCATTTTTGTGATAGATGGTTCCTGGTGGGATCGATGCAGATGGCTGGGGACGAGGGCGGGCATGCCCACGCTTCTCGCTTGCCCAGTTTAGAGGGTTGTTAGGTTGAGGAGCACAAGGGAATGTGAAATCAAATAATACTAATAATAAATGAATGCACAACAGGATAAAAAGGTGACATACTGTAATCATCATCAGTCTTTCTACTTATGCTAATTACAAAAACATACTAGGTGAAGCAGTGCTATTAACAATAGCCCAATAAAGTGTTAACAATAGCATCTTAACAATGCTATCAGAAAAGAATTGTCATGAATAATTATTGCCTTTATCAGTACTCAGCAAAGTTTATTTAAAGTGGCTGATTTCACTGAATGGTGTTCTATGTGGCTTTTATCCTGCAACCCTAACCTCAATCTTCAATTGCAGATGCTTTAAAAAATAAATAAAGGGGTGGGGAGGAGGAATGCATGGAGAAATTGAGTCAAGTGACAACAACTATTTAAACAGGGGTTGTTTTGTTTTGTTTTGTTTGAAAGGCAGTTGTTCCAAGCTCCATGCAAGCCAGCTGGCTCATTGAACCTCACCAGCAACTCAGCTTCATGGAATATTTGGCAATATTTAAGCAGTTATATTGCTTAAAGCATGGACACTCGGGCTCGACAGTATTTGAGTGAGCATTTGGCTGGTGTGGGATCTCTGGGTCCTGATTACAGAACAGGGCCACTGTCAGTCTCTCGTACTGTTGGGCAACTACAATGCCTGTCTCCTTCTCAATGATGAAAGGCGCCTTTTATTTAGAAAAGAAAAAGAAATCCTTCCTGTAGAACTGCTGGGCAGTCGGTCATCGAATCATAGAATGGTAGAGTTGGAAGAGTCTTATGGCTCATAAGGCCATGGAGTCCAACTGTCCTTTCACCATATTTTCCAACAATGCCCCTGATGTAGCATCACTTTGGGGTAAGACAGCCAAGTGACCTACTATACAGAGGACTGTCCTCTGTGTGAAAGATAAAGAACTGTAAGAAGTTGGGGAACAGTTAGCACCTGGACGACAGCCTGAGTGGACATGAAGACCACCAGGTCCTTCTTTCTCACAATAATGTTTCCATTTCAATTATGCATACATTTAGTATAAATTAGCACATACAACTATTATGGAAATAGCCTATTTGGGGATGTTTCAGTTGCTACCTTATTCTGGGGTATTGTGGGAAATTAAGATGGCAGCTAGATGCAGCCAATGAAAGGGAGAAAAGGGAGACAAAATCTCGAGATGCAGAAACTAGACTTTTATTCTTTAAACTAGCCCAATGGGGTTTGCCCTTATATTTATTTATTTAAAACATGTTTATGCCACCCCCATCACAACGAAGCCTCGGGGCGGCTCACAACAGAAACAAAATACATAAATGAATAATAATATAACAGTAAAAAAATTATTTAAAAACCCCCGGTGCATCTCGGCTAAAAATTTAAATCCTATAAATACAAATAAGTTAACAATTAAAATAAGTTTTAAATAAAAAGGTCTTAGTCTGGCGCCGAAAAACAAATAATGACGGCACCAGGCAGACCCCTCTGGGGAGCGCATTCCATAGATGGGGCACCACCACAGAGAAAGCCCTCCTCCGGGTACTCACCCTCCTAATACCATTCACAGAGGGTTCCGGAGAAGGGCATCCGTTGCTGATCTCAAAGGGCGGGAGGGCATAAATGGGCTCAAGCGTTCCTTTAGATATCCAGGTCCCAAGCCGTTTAGGGCTTCATTGGTCATAACCAACACCTTGAATTGGGCCCGGACTTCAATCGGAAGCCAGTGGAGCTGACGGAGGACTGGGGTTATATGAGAACAACGCCCAGTACCCGTCAGCAACCTAGCAGCTCTATTCTGCACCAACTGAAGTATCCGGACCGTCTTCAAGGGTAGCCCCACATAGAGCGTGTTACAGAAATCTAATCGGGAAGTCACCAACGTGTGTGTCACTGTCGCCAGGCAGTCGTTTTCCAGGAAGGGACGCAGCTGATGTATCAGCCAAAGCTGAAGGAAGGCGCTCCTCACCACTGCCGTCACCTGAGCTTCTAGAGACAGCTCAGGGTCGAGGAGCACTCCTAAGCTGCGAACCCTGTTCCTCAGAGGGAGTGCAACCCCATTTAGGACAAGGCCCAAGTCCCCCATCCCGAGGCGCGAACCACCCACCAACAGGACCTCCATGTTGTCTGGATTGAGCTTCAGTTTATTGGCCCTCATCCAGCCCATTACCTCGGCCAGGCACCGGTTCAGCACAGCCACTGACTCACCTGGATTGGTGGAAAACGAGAGGTAGAGCTGGGTATCATCAG